TCGCGGGCCCTTTATCCCTTTGCTACTGTGAATCTGAGGCCACGGACCGCCACCATGATTCTGGCAGCACTTTGGGGTCCTGGGGCTCCTAGGGAACCATCCAATCCGAGGGTGGCATTAGGGACCCCAGCACACTGGCTTTTTCTAGAAGTCCTGCCGTGGAAGGAGCCAAGAAAAGGGAGATGGCTGGAGGAAGAGGTAGGCTTGAGCCCGGGCTTTGTGGCAGACACTGGGCCACACCCCTGTGCCCCGCAGAGGGAGCAAGTAGCAGGGGTGATGGGTGACTCTGGTGACTCTGGAGAGGCGGGCCCAGGAGGAGGAGTCAGAGCGCGTGGGGACACTGACGGGGACTTGGTGGTGGCTGGTGAGGGCTGGTGAGTGTGCGGATTGGGGGGGGAAGGCGGCAAGTGGTTTGAGGAGACAGTCTGACTTGGGGGGCCATTCGGAGAAGACACCCTCTCCCGGGAGAGGGTGCAGAGGTGGCAAACAGGGAGATAGCTCCTTGGAGGTCTCTGATCATGAGTTGTTTTTTGTTTTTTTTTTTTAAAGAGCTATTATTTATTTATTTATTTATGCATAGAAGAACTGGGGTGTTGACCACAAGTGTGGAGGGGGGATCATAAATTTTAAAAACGAGTTAACATCTGTTGAAGCCCCATGCTCTCCCTCCCCACCACCCCCCGCCCCAGCATCTGCCTCATCTGCACAGGTGCTGGCACCAACCAGGGGGGTTCCAGCCCCACGTGGATGCTGACAGCTGAGTGGGGCAGAGGGAGAGGGGAGGTTTGTGAGTAAATCAGTGCCAGAGAGGGATAAACAAGGCGTATCTGTTGGTGGAGTCTTAATTTGACTTGGTGGAAAATCATCAAAAACATTTTTATTTTATTTATTTATTTTTTAAGAGATTTATTTATTTATTTATTTATGCATACAAGAGCTGGGGTACAGGCCAGAGGTGCGGGGGGTGAGAGGACTCACCAGAGGCAGAGTGGGGAGCAGAACAGGCAGACTGACTGAAATCCACTGCTGAGGGGAGCAGCGGGCGAGACAGGAGAGGTCTGCCTCACCATGTGGGTTGCTCCCTGGCCTGCCGGGGATTGAACTCATGCTGCAGAGGCTGCGGATTGCTTCATAGTGCTCCCTTGTGCCACCAGGGAGGCCCCTTAAAAACATTTTTTTTTTTTTTTTTTTTTTTTAAATATTAAATTTTATTTTTATATTCCCCCATACAATTGCAAACGCCCCATTCTGACCCCATTCTCTGGTTCATAGTCTCTGGTCCCTTATTTAAGTTTTCTAGATTCATGAGTGAAAGCATTTCAGTTTTTCAGATAACTCAGTAGGCTTTCTTGAAATATGGTCTTCTGTTGGAGGACCCTTCCAGGTGCTCTGGAAGCTCCTCTGGTCTTCTTCCAAAGTTCAAGAAACTTTGGAAAAGTTTGGAACCACTGAATCTATTGGTGTGGCCCTCCCCCATCCCCAAGGCTTCTCACTGAGGACAGGGTTCAGCCTGGAGCAGTGAGGACTGACGTGGTGGGAAGGTGGAGGACCAGGTGAAGCACCTCAGGGATGGGGGTGGGTGGGGGATGGGTGGGGAAGCAGACCCTGACGCTGGTCTGAGAGTCCAGACAGACCCCGGAAGGCTTTTCCACCACCCCATCTGCCCAGGACCCTCAGGGAGGCAGCGCTGAGGTCCAGCAAGTGACTCAGGCAGCTTGGGTCTCACACAAGAAGTCAGTTCTCGGAACTGGGCCACGCAGTGGGGATGGGGTGCCGGGAATGAGGCCAAGCCCAGTTATCAGAACTGGGCCACGTTCCATGTGGGACTTGTGTTCTTTACATCTTTCCTGCCCAAATCCTGGGGACAGGGTGTCTGCACCTGGGGCCCGGCAGAACCCTTCAGGTGGGGGATACGGCTGGACTGGGTGAGGCTTTGGGGTGCCAGAACCCACCTCCTCTGTCTTTGCCTCCTTCCTATTCTGTGCATGCCCCGCCCCCCTGGAGCCCCCACCCCTTGCAAGAAGAGGCTCAGAGTAAACATCATGTTTATTTTGAACGTTCAAATTTACAAAAACAAAAAAGTAACAAAAACCATGACATACCATTCACACACACACACGTCACATCTCATGTCACTTCTATGTACAAAATCAGGTGAGCGAAGGGTGGGGGAGGGCTGGCCTTAGGATGCACTCATTTCACAGTGTCCGACGACTCCACGTATATTCGGGTCCACGAGAGCCCCCCGCACCCGGCAGGGTTGGGACGGCGCGCTTTGGAGTGGCAGGCAGCTGGGATGAAGGGGTGAAGAAGATAACCCCAATCTGGGAGCGGCCCCTTCCCCAGTTTGCTCGGGGGAAGGGTGCTGGGGACCTTAGGAGGGGCCCGGTTGTGGGGAGAGGGGCCGCTGTGCTGTGGAGCAGGGAACACGGAGTCAGGAAGTTGGTGGAGCGTCCTGGCGCCTGGTGGGCACCCCAAGGGTCGCTCGCCCTCTCTGGGCCTCTGCCTCCGCATCTGAAAACGGGGTGCCTCGGGCCCTGCCGAGAGCGTCCCTGCCTCAGTCTGTGCTCACGGGTCACCCAACTGTGGCAAAGGGACCCATCACTTTGGGGTGTTAGTTGGGGGCACAAGGCGCCACAAAGGAAGAAAATCTGGCAGATAAGAGCTGTGAAGCACCTGGCTTGGGGCTAGACCAAAGTGGGAGTCTGCGAAATACTCGATTCCTCCCCTGCCCTGCACAGCTGCCTGGCAGGCCATTTCCCTTTCAACCCTCCTCCTGGGCAAACTCCGGCCGCACTGGAGCAGGACGAAATGCTGGGCGCTCTCTGGAGAGACTGGATCACTGAAGGGCTGGACCCCCGCCCGCCCTGGGCTTGGCTGGCCTGTGCCTGGTCCTCCACCGCAGACCCCCAGGCGGTGGTGAACAGGGCCAACCCCCCAGCAGCCATGGAGCCCAACCCCCACTGCACAGTGGGGTGCCTGTCCCCTGGGCTGACCTAGGCCCCAGTGGCTCTGCCTTGGTTTGAACCCTGGTGCCATCCCTCTGGCTGGCCGACCCTGGGCGGGTTACTTGACTTCTCGCTTGTCTGACTGTTGTGAGGATACATGGAATATGCTCGGCTGACACGTGCGGGACGCGACAGACTGGGGCCCAGTGTCATGACCGGCTGGGAGCAGCTCGGCCCACACCTGGGCCCTGTGTCTGGCTCCCCTTTGCGTCCTGGCTGTGCGGGGAGCAGGTGAAGCAGACGCCAGAGCTGGGTCCCCACAGCAAGGGGGCCGGACACCTGGTGGCTGGAGGGGAGGGGACCTTGGGGCTTCACCTTTCTGCAATGGAAATGGGGACCAGGCCACTCGCCCCTGGCCCAGACTCAGAGCCTGCACCCCATGTCCCCAATTTGTGTTGCCTGTGGAAGGCTGAGCGGGGTGACCCAGCACGGGAACAAAGATGGACGTCAGAGAGGCCCCCGTCACCATGACTGAGCATTTGGGTAGGCTTGGTGGTCAAGCAAGTCCTGCCCCCTCCCAAGCCCCAAGAAAGACCCTTGCCCCCAAGGCCTCCACCCAAGCAGCTTTAAAGAAAGTAACAGAACCCAATAAAGCCCTGTACCCCCAAATCTAAGTTCTGAATTCTACTGTCACCCCAGCAACAGCGTATGTCATTCTGGCGGTGCTTGACCCAGCACTGGGGCTGATGTCACTGGCTGTTACTGGGGCAACCCAGACCTCTGGCTGGGCGCGGTGGCGCCTTCTGCGAGGGGTTGCTGGGCAGAGGTGCTGAATGGTCTGTTTGTGCTCTTGAAATGGAAACAAGGGTCTGGGGGCTGGAGGCGACAAGGCTGGGAGACACCTCCCTGGCTCTGGGCCCCACAGCCCGCAGCTCTCGTGTCCTCCACAGGCTACGTGGCCGTGGGGAGTGTCGACGGGCAGCAAAATGGGGGAGGGGAGTAGAAGGCACCCATGCCCACTGAATCAGGTAACCTGCAGCTACCCAGACACCTGGCAGGGCACAGGACACCTGCATATTAGCGCCCCGTTCCTGCAGCCGCACCTGCGGCTCACACCTCTCCTCTCCCTCCCTCCTGGAGCGGGGTGGTGACTGCCGAGACACTGTGTCTTCCAGGGGTCTTACTGGAGCATTCTGGCCTCTCGAAAGGGTGCTGGGCTGGAGGGACCTAGAAGAGCAGGTTTTAAAACTCTGTGCCTGAGGGTGGTCTGCCGTCACGCTCGCCCCCGCCTCGGACTCTGCAGCCAGCTGCTGCCCCTGACCTGCGCCCAGCCAGACCCATGTGCTGTTCAATCTGGACCTGCCCCTGCTCTGCCCCTAGGTCACCCAAGGTCCTCGGGCTCGCCCATCCCGTTGTCCCAGAACCACCGGCCATCTGACATCTGATCTGGAGAGCTCAGACCCCACAGCACGGGCCTCGCTCCCGAAGGGGGAAGCTGGCCCCGAGCGGGCGGGGACTCAGAGCAGCCACACAGCAGGCTGGGAGCGGGGCTGGCTGGGAACCAGGGACTCCTCCCCAGCCAGTGCTCCGCACATCCCTCGGCTTCTTCCTTCCCCAGAGGCTGCAGGGCCGTGCAGGGGGTAGTTTTGCCAGAGTCTGGGTCCCCTGGGGCAGTGCTTCTGCCTCATGCTGCCCCAGCCCACACGGAAGTGGCCCAGGCTCTGTCCTGTGCACGGAGGGGGAGAAGGGACCGCGCCTCAGCAACCCAGCTGTGGGTGGGCACAAGGGGTGACTATGGCCTTCTGACCTGGCGGGTCTTGGTCCCTAATGCTCCAGGCTGGAGCTGGAAAGGGAATGTCCTAGAAAATGAGGTGGGGCCAGCCACACATGGAGCCAACATTCGAACCGCGAGCACAGAGAGGAGGGAGAGGCAGGCTGTGGGCAGCGGGGGGGTGGTGAGGAGGGAGAGGCGGGCTGTGGGCGGGGTTTGGGGGGGAAGAGGGGAGAGGCAGGCTGTGGGCGGGGGTGGGGGGTGGGGGGTGGGGAGGGAAAGGTGGAGGAAGGCCACCCCTGCCGCTGAGCTCAAGGCCCTTGCCCCATACGTAATCCCACGGCAGACGCTGCTGAAGTCAGTGGAATAGATAGGGCTGATGGGGCAAGGTGGGGCTGGGGGTGAGAGATGGCGCCAGTCGCCAGGAGGGTGGGCAGAGCTGTGAGTATGGCTAACTGCGCCCCCCACCCTAGGCACTGGACTCACCCCAGGCGTGACCTGTTGACTTGAGCTGCTTGTCCCTGCCCAGTGGGATGAGGGGACAGCCAACACAGGGCAGGGCGTTCTGGAGGTGTGGGGATGGGGCAGGGGTGGAGGTATGGCGAGGAGTGGGGCAGGAGGGGTAGGCCAGAGTGTGGGTAGGCTGAGGAGGGAACGTGCCCCCCAAAGGCCCCAAAGTGGCAGACAAAGGAGGGGCCCTGCACGAGGCAGCCCCTCATGCCTTGGCCCTCCCCTTGCAGACATCGAAGGTGGCCTTCTTTGCACCCCCAAAAGCCTCCACCAGCTTGTCTTCCCAGGGGAGGACGTTGCCCAGTAGCGGCCCGGTACAGTTGGCAAGGCCCAGGACCTGGGTGGGTGTCAGGATGTGGTCCCACAGGTTAAACTGGGCAATGTCGCCCACGAAGGCTTGAGTGGCATCAAACCGGCCACCCAGGGTATCCTGGGCCAAGAGAATAGCAGAGAAAGGAAAAAGACAGAGTGAGGGAACGGAGAAGACAGACAGGTCTCAGTCCCTGTTGAAATTCCTGCCATGACTCTCCAGACCAGCCCCAAGGCAGGAGCCCGCCCCCAGGCCCTACCCCCGCCCCTTGACGGTCAACCCTCTCTGGGTCTGTCTGTCCACTGCATCGGGGCTGGGTCAGACTGCTCTGCTTTCAAGGTCCTTCCGCCTAACCCCCCCTCCCAAGGGGCCCTGGGTGAGTGGGACATGTACCTGGGCTTCAAACCCTGATACCACTCTGAGTCTTACCTGCTCCTGGCCCAGGATAAGGATCCCATGAGGCTTGATGGGGTGCCAGGCAGCCAGGTTCTCACCAGAGCCCCGCAGCTCCCCGTCCTGGTAGGCAGACCACAGGCCATCCCTTGTGGTCCAGGCGATGCAGATGTGATGCCAGCTGTTGTCCTTTAGACTCAGGGGCAGCTGGGCCACCTAAACACAGGTCCCCCAACCCCAGGTCAGAGGTGCCACAAGGCCTCGGTTTCCTCATCTATAAAGTGAGGAGGTCAGGTGAGGGATGGCACGCGAGCCCAATACTGCTGCCGCCTTTGCCAGGCAGACCTGGCTGATCAATCTCGTGACTCATCCTCAGGATCTACCCATCTCAGTGGTCTGAGAAGCCACTGCTGATGGAGAAGACTTGGCCGGTGAGATGAAAGGCACCTGCTGCCTGAGGATTTGGGTCTCCCCAGAGGTTCTTTCATCTCGTAAATTTTCTGAGTTCACAATTTAATGCAACATTCTCTGAGGCCTACTGGGTGCCAGGCCTTATTCTGGACATGGGGGTGTGGAGCTGGTCCTGGCCTTAAATGAACTGAGTCTGCAATAGAAGGACTTCGGGACAATAAACAAGACAGAGTAACATAGGGGGCCATCTGGGCGGTACAGAGGCTTCTTCCCAGAGGAAGAAGAGGGCATGGGAACAAGACAGGGCCTCTAAACACCCCTGGGAGGTCGATGGAACCTCACCAAGCCACTGCAAGGTACACCAAGGGGGGGCACAGCAGGAGCCAAGGCTCAGAGGTCCAACTAAAAAGGGCAACCATGTATAGTCTGCAGCTGCTGCTCAAAAGGACACCCCAGGTTCCCAGAAGGGGCTCTGTGTGCCCTATCCAGGGTGCTGAACCCTTCCACTGAGCTCTGAGTGCCGACCTTGGGCAGGCAGGGTTATGCCGGGGTCAGGGGAGCAGGATCTAACGTAGTCCAGCCCCTCCCATCTTTTCAGGACCTTCTGGACCACAAGAGACATTCACTTCCCGGACCCGCCTCCCCCCTCCTCTAGGACACCCATGGAAGGTACTTGCTGCTGAGCAGCGCTCTGATGGGCGTCCACCGCTCCAAGTGGCTCTAAGTGGCTGTGGGCTGGTCACAAGTGGATGTGATATTTTCAGGGGGTCTTGAGAGACCACCATGCTTGCAAAACCCAAAGCAGAGTAGCAGGCAGGGAGCACGGGGCTGAGAAGATGCTTCCCATCCTTCCTCTTAGTCACATCACTCCCTCCACGCAAAGCCTGTCTTTGTCCTGCCCTGAAGCCAGGTTAGAGTGGAGGTTTAGGGGCAGGCGTTTGGGGCATGGGAGGGTGGGTGGCTCAAGGGCAGCACAGTGGGGAGGTTAAGAGGTGGTTTCTGGAGCCCCAGACCCCAAGTCACCCCATTACCACTTGTGTGTCCGGGATGCACTATTTTCCCTTTCTGAGCCTCAGCTTCTTTTGGGCACATACCTCCCAGTGCCACTGGGAGGGCTGAGGTTGGTAATGTCAAGAAAGTGGTTACAAGCACAGGGCCTGATGCAGCAAAGAGCGCAGCGTGTCGAGGCTGCCGAATGCCTGGCTTCCCAAAGCCCTTTGCATGTGTCTAAGCCACTGCTTTCTGGTCACAAGCCTGTAAACTAGAGAAAGTTGTCGTTCCTGCTTTACAGATCTGGAAACTGAGGTACGGGGTGTAAGTGACCAGTCTAAGGTCACATAGTGGGTCAGTGGCAGGTCCAAGATTCAGGCCCAGCATTCAGGCCCAGAGCCACACCAAGGCACCATTCCACAGTCCATAGGCCGGGAGGGACAGGGGCTGTAGGTGCCCCCTCCCTCGTTAGCGCCTTCCCGCCATCACTTCTTCCCTCTGTCCTTCCTCTCCTCTCCCAATAGGCCCCTTAGACCTCATTTCCTCTGTTTGTCTTGGAGAAAGAGCAGGGCCCTGGGGGCAGACACTCCCAGCCCCGCTGTTAAGGCCTGAGGCTTCGGTTAATGGGAACACCACACTTAGAGCCTTCTGCCACCCCAGGTCCGTCTGGCTTGGCTTTGTCTTCTCAGAACCCAGCCTGGCAACCAGTAGGCATTTCATGTGTACTGAGTATGCTGAGCAGGAGACTCGAAGGGCCCCCATGTTTGGCTTCCAAGCAGTACAGGTGCTTCTGGAAGGGTCACCCCCGCCCCAGCGGGTCCCTCCTGCCCGGCCCAGCGCCGCCCCTCACCTTGTCATTGATCAGCAGCTCCATGGGGTTGTGGCCCGACTCCAGCAGCACGATCTCGTTAGCCTGTCCAGGCACCGAGTAGGAGAAGGGCGTGCCCTGGCCGGTGCCGCCCGACCTGGACCGCAGCCACATGCAGACGGTGAAGGCGTAGAGCTCAGGCAGCGCCTTCCGCACGCGAGCGTACATGTAGTTGTTGCGGATGGGGATGCTGACCCTGAAGGCATCTGGGGGGCTGTAGGCTGAGGGTCCTGCGGGGGTGAGCAAGGTAGACATGGTGGGGGTCAATTAACACTGCTGAGGTGGGGGACAGGGCAGTCCAGAATGAGGGCTGCTAGGGCCAGGGCACCTGCTAGGTGCCAGGTGCTGTCACGGCTTCTCTACTCTCAGTGCTGAAGGGGGTGGGTACACGCAAGGACCCTGGACCTGAGAAGTCCCTCGTTCAAGTCCTGCCGCCGCCACTGCCCAGCCAAGTGCAACTTCACTTCTCTGGGTCTTGGTCTCCTCAGTGAAATGAGGGTAATAGCGTCTCCTCCCTCCCAGGGTTGTGTGAGGGTGGGGTGGGACAAATCATGTCAAGGGCCTGGCGCATGCTCAGCAGGTGTCAGCTGTTGTCATTTTTAGAGTTTGTTGCAACAGACAAGGCTTTCTGCTGGGGCTGGCCTCGTCTTCAGGGCTGTTACATGCGTTGTCATTCATTCTTGCAAAAACCCTCGGAGACAGATGCTATTAAAACGCTCATTTTACAGTAAGGAAACCTCAGCACAGGGAGGTTAAGTAGCAATCTGAAGGTCACACAGCTAGGACGGGGCAGAGCTGGGATCTAAATCAGACAATCTGGGAATCCTTGATCTCCACAGTATCTCCCAGCTGAGTCTGCAGGGATTCTATATCTTAAACGTCAGGGGGGTTTCTGCAGGGATTGGCAGTCTGCCTCCAAGCTGTGCCCTTGCTGTGCCCCTCCACTCCAAAATTATTCTCTATCTCTGCTCTCAAGGACTAGCTCGAGGCCCTCCTCCTCCAGGAAGCATCCTGGGTTTCCTACTCTTGAACTCTTACTCTGAGTCTCAGTAAGACTCACTATTGCTCATGGCTTCTCCTGGAATCCCCCACATGTCTCCAAGCCTCTTTAAGGGTGATCCTTATGAGATTTCAAAGATGTAAGGTCCCTGTGAGCTCATGGTCCCTGAACCCCTAGTTTTCAGATGAGAAAAATGAGCTGGAGAAAGGAAGCGAGCTTCTAGAGCCACAGAGTGATCCAGTGACAGTTGCAGGTCCAGGAACTTTGTGCCCTGGTGCCTGTCCCCAAACTCTGTCTATTACATGGTATTTCTCTGACCCCCTGGCAGTGCCTGGTATTATACAAATGAAAAAAATCCCAATTCACTGAAGGTGCTATTTTATGGCAGTGGTCATTGCGCGGACTTTGGAGTCAAACAGACGTGGTGTTAAGTCTAGATCCGCTGCTTACTGGCTGTATGACCTTGGGCAAGTCACTGACTTCTCTGAACCCCAGTTTCCTCATCCATGACCCTTGGAGGTAATAACCTCCTTGTGTGGTTTGTGGAGATTCAACCAGCTGACCCGTCGCCTTCTTGGCCCACTCCCACAACCTATGTGCCAGCAGGTGCTGTTTGTGATCGAACTGCCCACTTGTTCTTTCTTGCTCATGTTTCAGTCCACTGGCCCCCATCCGGCCTCGTATTTGCCTCTGGGAGCATGCAAATGTTTCCCAGTGCATCTGCGACCCCGAGGGCCCATCCGAAGACCAGGGTCTCGCTGCTGTGCCCTCGTGGGCCTGGGACCCACCGTGCTCCAGCTCAGCCACACGGCCCTGCAGTGCATCCAGCTCCTTCTCCACCTCCTGCTGCTGCTTGTGGCTACTGTGGCTGAGGGCGGTGCGCTCCTTCTCCAATGCCAGCACCTTGGCCAGCAGCTGCCCCTCCAGCTCGTCCATCTTGGAGTGCAGGGCGGTGGGCGCTGCGGATGCGGGCGCTGGGGCAGCTGAGAAGTTCACACGGGCTGGGAGCTCCTGCTGCTTACAGGGCAGAGAAAGAAGCACATGAGGGCTCTGGGAGGGAGGGAGGGAAGAGACATGGGGCTGGAAAATGCCCTCCACCCCTGATGAGTGAGCCCGCAGGTGAGCCTCAGTTTCCCCATGTGCACACAAGGGATGGCAGTGCCAACTTCTGGCAACAAACACGTACTGGTTTCTGGTGGGTGTTTCTAGTGTTGATGGTGAGCTGCAAGTAGGCTGCCTCCTGTCCCTAAGGACCTCAGCCTCTGGCAGGGGTGGGGTCCCGACTGTAAAAGACCCCCGGATGGTTCTCACATGCAGTCAAGGTTAAGAACTCCTGCCACGTCCTTTGTGACCGGAAGGCTGTATGCTGGTGGGTCCAGAAAGGGGCGGACTGTCTGAGTCTTTGCTCATTCACTCACCAAGCTTCTCTAAGACAGTGCAAGGATGTGTGGGGGCAGATCCACGTGGAAAAGCATAATACATTAGCCAGTGGGGAAAATGCTCCTTCCAGAACCTTCCCAGGGAAGTAGCAGGCCAGCTGCCCAATGCACAAGCTGGCTGGGCTCGTAGAAGCCTGGGCAGAGGCAATTAGCTTAGGGGGCACGCAGTCTCAACACCCCAAGAGCCATGCCTATGGGTCCTGGTCCAGCACCCTGCTATTCTGCTTCCCGCTTTCTCTGTGCTGAGCTTGGCCTGAGACAGCCTGCCAGGCCCGGCCTTGGCAGCTGACACATTTTACTCAAACTCTCACAGTCACTCACTGTGTATCCCCATTACACAGATGGGGAAACTGAGGCAGAGGTCCTTTTGAATTTTCCACCATCTGACACCTCTGGACCCGCACCCTCCCCCTCCACCACCTGCCCTCCCCCCCTCAGCGAGAGCAACACCAGCCTGGGGAACAGGAGGCTGAGTGCTGTTTACACACTGCTGTGCTGCGTTGCCGTTGCCGGAGAAAGCGGAGAAAGTGTGTGGGGAGGGAGGCACACAAGCTGTCCTTTTGTTAGAGCCACCAGCTCCGCTGCCGACAGGAAGGCCTGGGAGGAAGGAGGTGGGCTCCCCGATCGTGTGGCCCCCTCCGCACCCCAATGTCTGAATCACAAGAACATGACTCCCCGCCGCCCCACTTTCCCATCTGCTGTGGGTGCAGGCTGTGCTGTGTGGGCTTCCGGCCCGATGCCAAGCGCTCCTGGCCTAAGATGGGAGGGAGCTGATGATGCCGTCACTCTGCTCAGCTCCAGTGAGACGGGAACAGGGCCTTGGAACCCACTGCCTATCCCCCTGGGGTCCCGGGTGGGGTCTGGTGAAAGTACGTGGGGCCTGGAGCCAAAGCTCAGAGTTCCAGTCCAGCCCAGCTAAGGGGGGCAGCTGCCCGCGTCACCTGCTTGCTAGGCCCTGCCAGGAAGCGCTGTGCGAATATGCCCCACCCCTTTCCACAACCTGGGGCAGCACTGAGGCCAGCTTTATAGAGGAGGCCTGAGGCTCAGAGAGGGGTCGTCAGGTGCCCAGATCATACCGCTGCCCAGCTGCAGAGCCGGGCCCTGTCCAGAACCTGTTCCCTTTCTCAGCGCTGCCCTGATCATCTGGGTCTTGTTTGTTGGTCTGACACATAGGCACAGTACTGGCTCCCCTGCCCATAGTCAGCAGAAGAGGGTCTAGTAACCCTGGGAGGGCTGGAGGGCCTGGCAGGCAGTCAGACTGGGTGCCGGGGCAGAGCCTACAGCAGCCAGGGGAGGAGGAGGAGGCTGGGAGGCTGGGAGGACAGGGCAAGACCCAACCAGTGCCCCGGATGGGGATGGTCCCCTTCTTCCGGGGGCAGAGGGAAAGGAAGGTGCTGGACTCAGGGTCAGAGCGCCACCTGCTGTGTAGCTCAACCCTGCCTGGGACAGCAGGGGCCCAGCTTTTGGGGGCAGCAGGGGAGGGGGAGCAAGGACAGGCTGGGGACCGCAGTGTGGATCAGGTCTGACCACCCCACATCTCCTCATCCCTGAGTGCTGAGCACATCCTGTCTGGCTCACACGGGACTCTCCCAGCCAAGTGGCCCTCTCATGTAAGAGTGCTGTGCCTCAGTTTCCCCACGGGCAAAAAAGCGTACAATAATACTATCACAGAGCTGCAGCGAGGACTAAGCTAGTTCATATGTGTGTGGGAGTCGCACTTGGGATTTTGAATGAGAACTCTTTGGATTTCACTGTGAGGATAGTATTCAATAAATCCCAGGAGATGGTCCACACTTCTAAGACAGATTTCGCCCCAGTGTAGGCTGCTACAAGTGTTCTGGGCAGGTTTAAGACAGGTTAGGCTAAGCTATCATGTTTGTTGGGGGAGGTGCATTGCACACACTTTCGACTTAATGATATTTTCAGCTGATGATGGGTCTATGCAGCCATAACCCTGTTGTGAGTCGAGGAAGAGCTGTGTTATCACCGACCCTACTTAGGTGTCTCTTGAAATGGTCTGCCTTCTCCACTTTCGACTATCAATCTTTTTGTTTCATCATAATATTGTGGGGGTGGAGAGGAAGGAAGCACAAATTAACAGAAAAGCAGTTAGATCCCATTTCTATAAAGTTGTACAGATTCAAAATGAGATCATGCATAAGAGGCAGGAGAATTCAAGTTCAGGAGCGTGGTGGCCCCCTGGGTGTGGGTGGTGGGGCGGGGCTGGTGGCAAATGCCCTGGGGCTCGAGCCTGGGTGAGGACCTCAAAGCATTCTTTATACCTTCCTGTGTGCCTGAAAGATTTGATGCTGATTTTTTTTTTTTTTTTTTTTGGAGCAGCGGGGAGACAGAGAGGTCTGCTGCACCAAGGGGGTCAGCTCCCTGGCCAGGGATCGAACTCAGGCCACAGCGGCGATAGTGCTAAGACTTAACCCCGAGGCCACCAGGGAGGTCCCCAGCCGGGAATCTTAACTGTAGCCTCCCTCAGCTCCTTTGTCCCTCCCGCATTCAGGCCCTGAAACCTGGGCTTCTGCTCAGGCCAAAGCTGCAGATCCAGCCATGTTGCTCTCCAGCCTTCAATCCTTCAATGCCGCCGTACAGATAGAATCCCAGCCACGGGGGACTGGCCCCAGTGCTCCCTAAGCCTGCTGCCCTTCACTCCCATGGAAGGCCCCCAGTGGCCTCGCCCCAGGACGTCCTCACGTGCTGTTCCTTCTGCCTAGAACATTCTTCCGCCCCACCCCCTCCTCTGGCCAGATGCCTGCTCAGCCTCCCATGGCAGCTTCCCTGCCGCCTGAGCGGAGGAAGATGCTCTGACGGGAGGGAAACAGGGCCCCTCTGGAGGGACCGCAGAGCGTGCCCTCACTCATTCATTCATGCAGCGCCCTGTTGCCGTGGTTACAGGCACGCATCTCACGTCAGACAGGCTGCGCGCGTCACTCCCAGGCTCACCATTCGTAGCTCTGTGGCCTTGGACGAGCTGCCCCACTCTCCTTTGCCCTGTTTCCTCAACTAGAAAATGGGAGTAATAATAGTATCTGCGTTTTGGGATCTCAGTAAGGAGCACGTGAAGGAACAGATGTCAAGTCTGGCATATGGCGGTGAGCACCACCTCCACCGCCTCCAGCACCTCCACCACCATCACCTTCACCACCTGCACCATTGCCACCTCCACCGCCATCCTCCTCGCCAGCCCCACCGTCACCACCTCCACCTCCACTGTCGAGAGGCAGGGGAGAGACGGGGGAGCGGGGAGGCAGGGGAGTGGTGAGAGGGGTGCAGGTGGCGTCCTAGGCAATTTCTTAACCTCTCTGAGCCTCCATTTTCTCACCCGTGAAGTGGGGAAGGGACAGTCTCAGGGTTCTCGTGGGACTGAACGGCCAGGCCCGGGACAGGCTGGCGCAGAGGACAGGCTCAGCCCTGCTGCCTCTCACGGGGTACCGGGGGTGCGGCTCTCAGCTGGGGGGAGAGAGGTGGACTCGGTGGTGCAGGTGCAAGCACCCCAAAGGAGCCATGGGCTCCGCTGTAACATGACAGGGGACGGTGAGTCGGGAAGGCTTCTTGGGGGGCCCTTCCTGCTCCCTGGTTCCCCCTCTGGGACCGCAGCAGTCACTGTCTCCATCTGACCCCAGGCGGAGGAGGATGAGCAGGAAAGACCAGGCTGATCTTTGGTCCTGGTGCCCCAGTGCCAATTTGGAACTGTGGAGAAGAGAGGAGGAACCAGCCTCTGGGCTCCGGGTGCCGTCGGGGTGACAGGCGGGCAGTGAGGCGGAGAGGACGGTAGGGGAGAAGGCTCTTTTCAAGAGGCTGGAGCAGCGGCGGGGTCCGTGCCATACACCTTCCTGGGCTCTGAGGCCCCCGAATGTGATAGAACACCCCAACCTCAGCCCCCTCGCCTCGCCCGTCAAGGGCTCCTGGACAAGTTGCTGCTTTGAGAGCTCCCTTCAGGCCCCAGAGCTACAGCAAAGAGAGCACCCCCAGCCTGTCCACACGGAAAATCCCGCTGTGCCCCAGGCCTGCCGTGTTGCCTGACTCAGCCAGGCTCTCGGTCCCTCTGAGCACCAGCTTCCCCAGCATCAGATGAGGACTGTGTGCCCCTCAATGGGCCCCCCGTTGGGTTGGTTGTCTCAGTCCCTGTCCCCAGGGCTCAGGGGGATTCTGCATCCAGGGTTGTCCTCGGGAAACTCCACCACACTCTCCCGCGAGGGGTGCCACCCTGACCTCGTACCACTTCCCATGGCCAAGGGCTGCACAAAGTGGCCAACAACACAAGAGAAGGTGCCAAACAGCGTGAGTCAGAGACACAGATGAAAGCCACAGCGCTGCACGCCCACCAGAACGAGTCGTGAAAAAGACCACACTGAGCCGGGGAGCGCCCCTGGGTGGGCGTGCCAAGGCTCACTGCCGCTTTGGAAGCGCGCTCAGTAGTGCCAGCCAAGGCTGAAGCCACGCCTCTCCCAGGACCCAGGCGCCTGCACCCAGGGAGAAACAGGGATCTCAGCTTAGAGCATCACAGAAGGTCTGTGGCAGCTTTGTCATAACTCCAAGCCCGAAACAGAGGCCCACCCCTAGAAGAATGGGCAGCTAAGGACGGTCCCCCCATACGTGGGAGCGCTGTGCACTGGGCAGCAAGGACACGAACAGCCACGGGGTCAGGCGGGATCCGGTGTCAGGCCTCACATGGACAGGACCCGCCGATGCAAAGGCTGCAGCTATCTGAGTGGCCTGCATGAAGCTCAGACCCAGGCATCGCTGATCGATGGTGAGGAAGGCCCCAGATGGTACTTTGGGGGTCACAAAGGAGCTTTTTTGGGGGCCCTCAATATGTTCTGATGCTGGATTTGGGTGGTGCTTTCTTGGGTGTATCCATAGGTGAAACTTCATTAAGGTTTGTGTGCTTTACGACAAGTACGAGGAATGAGCACTTACGGATTTTTAAAGTAAGTGTACCTCAAAAAAAAAAAAACCACCCAAAACCAACAAACAAGAACAGCAACAAAACAGTCACAAACAGGTCACTAGGGTAAGTCCTTAGAGGAAAACTGAAGTCAGAGAGCCTGAGTGATTAAAGTCACAAGCAAGAACTCAGCTCTGCCGCCGAGCCTTCCTGTTTCAGAGGATATGTGAGCGCCGCAAAGGTGTTTGGGGAGCATCTGGACCTCTGCATCGGTTAACAGAAGGGAAAGTGAATCAGGGGAGGTGGGGGTGCTGGTTTGCCTGCTCTGGTTCCCCCCAACGCTCTGCATCCATGTTCCCTCGTCTGCAGTAGGGTCACGTGCCTGGCCTACTTCTCAGGGCTGAGGACTGGGTTAGCCGGCACGTAAGCGCTTCGTCAGTGTGACTTGCTGTTGTCAGTATTATCGTTGTGGGTGTTAGGTTTATCAGCAGAGGTCCCCCCATGAGCCGCCTGATCATCTGGCCAGCCAGCAGGACAAGCCTTTGAGGTCGACCCTGATCACTCTTCTCCTGGTGCTCTGATGCAGACATGGTCCCAGGTGGTGTCCAGCAAGAAAGCAAGAGTGTCTTCCTCCCTCTCTGGAAGGTGGATGAACGCTGCCTCCTCCAGAGTTAGTGATGAAAGACAGTGGCTCTGGAGCCAGATACTAACGGGGTCAAATCGAGGTTCCATGGCTGTGTGACATTGGGACAGTGTCTTTACCTCTCTGAACCTTGTTTTTCCATCTGTACAAGGGGGCGAGTATAGTACCTCCCTCATCAAGGTTTTATGAGGATGGGACGTGATGATGCCCAGTGCCTAATGTACTCAGTAAGCGCAAGATACCGTGGTTATTGCAACAAACAGCATGGCTGGAAAATCCCTGAGTCCAGGCTCCTCCGTGACCATCATCAGGATGGCTTTGCCAAGGTTCCCTCTCCAAGACGATGGAGGTGGCTGGCTCGCTGGGCTGGGTTATGGATGTGGTCTGTGTCAAAGATCTGCTGCTTAAACCAATCTTGAAATCTCATTTTACACATATATTAAACCAGTGCAAAAATGGAACATGAGAACATGCATCCGCGGCCTGTTGCCACATAAAGAGTCCGATGTGGCCAAGTGGTTCTTGGCAACAGTCATAAACAGTCAATATCCTGTGACCTGGGAAGTCAGCCTAAAGAAATCACTCAATGACTGAGAGAGAGAGCGAGAGAGAGAGAGAGAGAGAGAACGAGAGAGCACTATCTGCATGAAATTGACCTCCCAATGAGCTTCGAGAAGAAAAATAATGAGAAAGTCTCTATCTCCAGCAACAGGAGGTGGACGGTAGCCGTGGGGCGCAGGCCAGATCCCTGGACATCGTGGCCGTCATTAAGATGGTAATTACCCGCAATGCCTGGCAACCCTGGACAACCTCTACTTTCAGATAAAGGACTGACAGGAGGCTGCAGAGGGAGGAATGGTGGAATTAGGTGTGTTTTTCCTCTCCAGGCATTGACTTTTAAAATGAACAGCGACAATAACAACACAAATGAAAACAAAGAGGTTAAACAAATAATTCTAAAATGACAATTTCTCCTGAACCTTCAAGCGTGGCTCCCCCTTGAGACCTGGGGGGAGAGGCCAGGCCAGAATGACCTTTGCTCTCCCTTGGTAGCCAGTCCAGTGGGGTGGGGGAGGGGCAATGCAGAGCTGGTGAGGGGTGTGTTGAGGATTATGGGAGCACAAGTGGGGACAGGGAAGGGACAGTGCAATCAGGAAAGGCCTCCAGGAGGAGGTGTAACCTAGGTAGAGGTGAGAAAGAGAGAAAGGTGAGAAAGACTGGGCATCGAGCAGGCTGAGGAATTTGCAGCAAAGTGGAGCCTCGGGGTGAGCTTGAGGAAGATCCCTGGGGATGCCTGTAAGGGGAGGTTGGAGGGGGTAGGAGACAGTGAGGACACCGCAGAATGCATCTGAAAAGGAGGTTGGGAGAGACAGGTTGGGTTCAGGCTGGGCACGATGAGTCGGGGTTGGTAGGATATCCAGATGGAGGTGCTCACGACACAGCTGGAGCCACTGTTCTGGAGCTCAGGGGAGAGAATCCTGAGCTGGAGATGGAATGGGCTTCGGCACCACAGAGGGGTGGGTGTAGACACCGCCAAGATGGCTGAGTTCACCCAGCGAAAGTGAGAGGACCCCCAGGAGGGGCACAGAGGTTAAAAGGGGAGGACCCTGCGAGGAGCCAGAGAGCAGAAGGGGCAGGGGGCGTGAGGGTGCCTGGAAGCCAGGGCACCGAGATGTCCAGGAGGGGGCGGGCAGCAAGGCGAGGCGTCAGAGGGGGATCCGGCACGACAGGGACCAGAAAGTGTCTGTCACCCCGGTGACATCTGCAAGAGCGCTTGCATCTGCGTCGGGGGAAGAGCTGAGGGGGAAGAGGGAAAGCCCTGACAATCCGGGAGCATCCTTTTGAGGATACGGATGAGGGGAAATATTAGAAACAAAAAAGTCCCATCGTCTGACTCCACATCTGTCGGGTTCCAGAGCCCAGCCCCTACAAAGACCCCCAAAGAGACTGGCTCCGGCGATGCCGTCCTCAGCAGACCGATGCGGTGGGCGCCCTCTGGGACCGCTGGCCCTTTCCATGGCTACTACACGCAGGAAGCCTGCGAGGGTGTGTAGGGGAGGCCAGGGCTGCCCTGCCTGGGAGGTTGGTGCCAAATCCCAGCACCAGGATCCCCCCAACCTCAGCAGGAAACTGGAGGGGCGCCACCCTGCCAAATGCGCAGGTGCCTGGGGCACGAGTCCAGGACAAGCCCAGCCCTGCCAGCCCCAGTCGTGGGAGGAACCGCGGTGCCATCTGGGCATGGGGGCAGGGGTGATGGCAGGCAGGAGGGAATTTATTGAAAGCCAATTTATTTTTTACATTCCTAAAACCTATTTCCTCCAAGGAGGGTTTGTGCCCATTTTTGGCTTGGGCTGCATTTTACAAATGAGCAGTGTGCTGTCACTGCTCGGGGGAAGAAAGCAGCCGCCCAGACTGAGCGCGCCGTTCCCGGCCCCTCTCAAAGAGGCGCCGCTGAATCCTCCCAGCACCCCAGGGAGGCAGGTGCTGTTGTCTCCACGTTACAGGCGAGGAAAGAGACTCTGCCGCCCTCTTGACTTCCAGCAGTCCCGGGTCATTTTCCTCACTCTCACCCTACAAAGCCCCCGGGGCCGCAGTGGGCCAGAGGGAGGCCGGCCCTGCAGAATCCCAGTGGAGCCTCCCTCCTGCCTCTGCCTTGTCCAGCTGCATTCAGTTGGGGGGAGGTAAGTTCGGGGACGGCCGGTGCTTTGGCCTTCTCCCCCCTCCTTCCACAGATCCCGTGTTGCTGCTCACCCCCTTGGCAGCAGCCTGGAAATCACGGATGGTCAGGCGTGGGGGTCAGGGTCTCTGAATGCCTGTCCTGGCTAGTCTCTTGGGCACCCCTCCGGGGGGGGCCTCAAATAGCTTGCCAGGGGAGAACGGGGTCTAGTTCAGAGGAGAAATGACTGGCCCAGGAGCCCCCGACACCAAGTGCAGACTCCCCATGTCCCAGCCCTGGTGGCTGACCCCATCCTGTGCCCGGAGGCAGGAGGAGCGGAGGAGCCCTGTGGGCCCTGGTCTCCACTCAGGTCTCCCCCTAGAGCAGCAGCCTTCCAGGTTTGGGGGGCGGGAGAGCTCCTGTCCTCCAGTTCACGGTCCCAGCCAGAGTGATTTGGGGTGGGGTTTGGGGTAGTAAGAGACACAGGGGAGTGACACCCCCTTCCTCTGCGGAAGAGGAGGACCCCAGTGTCTTGGTCAGCTCGTCCTATCTCTTGACCGCGGGGCGTGAGTGTGGGGCTGGTGCTGCTTCACTGTGCTGGGAAGACGGAAATGCAAAGGGCATGTAAAGCGGCCCTAGTGGGAGCCAAGCAGCACCCCCACCAGCCCCCACTTCCCTCCTCACTGCACGTGGAGACTGTTACACCCACTTTACAGATGCGGAAACTGAGGCCCAGAGCGGGTCCTGGAGGGACAGGGATTGGCGATGTGTCTGTCCCGCGCCCCTTCCACGTCGTCGGGGTGTCAGACTCTTTTTCTATCCGCGTCTTCCCTTCTCCAACCCCCCCCCAACGCAGCACTCCCTGTACACGGACGGCAGACCCGCGGGTCACACTCGCGAGGGCCTCCCGGGGGCCCCGCACCCGGCGGTGGTTGCGGGACGCCCCGCGCGCTCGGGCGCGGGCGGCTCCTCCCATCCCCGGCTGGACCCCGACGGCGCGGCGCGCGGCGCTCACCTCCAGGCGGTCGAGACGGTCGCGGAGGGCGCGCACGGCGTCCTCCAGCTCGAGGATGACCGCGGGCGAGTCCCAGGCCCCGTCGGCCATGGTGTCCCGGCGGGGCCCGGCGTCCTGCAGGCCGCGCGGCAGGCCGCTCTCGCAGCGGCCCAGCTTGCCGGTGAGCTCGCGGATGGTGTCCTGGTCCGCGCGGATGCGCGCCTCCTGCTGCAGCGCCGTCTGGCGCAGCTGCTCCGCCGTGCTCTGCAGCAGCAGCAGCTCCTCGCGCTCGCCCGGCGCCGCGCCCGCCGCGTCCCCGGGCTCGGGCCCCGACGGGCAGGCGGCGGCCAGCGGCGTGCACAGGAAGCGGCTGAAGAGGGGCGCGGGCGGCAGCGGGCGCGCGCTGGCCGCGGGAGCCCCGGGCAGCGCGGGGGGCCCGGCCGAGCCGCCCGCGCCGTGCAGCGCGCTCAGGCTGCGCTGCGGGCCCGGGGACGCGGCGGCGCCCGGGGCGCCCGGGGCGACCGAGGCGTTGTCGCCGCCGCCGGGCAGCGCCCGCGCCGGGCTGGCCGCCAGGGGCACGCTGGCGATGATGCAGATGACAGCACCCAGGAACGCCAGCATGCCCGCGGCCAGCAGCACGGCCAGGAACTTCAGCGTGAGGCGGGCGGGGGGGCGCGCGGGGCCCCGGCAGGCGCGGCGGCGGGGTCGGGGCGCGGGGCCCGGGCGCGCGGGGCCGAGCGGGGCCCGAGCGGGAGCGGGAGGAGCCGGCGCCGGAGCTGTCGCCGCGGCCGCTGCTGCCGCCGCTCTGAGCCCGGGCGGCGGGAGGCGGCGCGGGCGGCGGGGAGGGGAGCGGGCGCGGCGGCCCCGCCCCGGCGGCTCCCCCGGGCCGGCGCGGGCCCGGCCCCGCACCCCTTGCGTGCCGGGCGCGGAGGGCGCGGGCTGCGGCGAGAGCCGGGGGCGGCGCCCGGGGCTTCGTCCCGCCGCGGGCGCGGGGCGGGCGGCGACCCGGGGGCCGCGGCGGGACTCCCGGGGACCCCGCCCCGCCCCTCCGGGCTCCGGCCGCTCCGGGAAGGGCGCGGAGGGAGGGCGGCGGCGCGCGGAGGAGCCTCGCGCGGGAGGAGCGCTCGGCGCGCACGAGGAAACTGAGGCCCGCGGCGGGCGGGTCGCTGTCCAAGGTCACGCGGACGAGTGAGCCCCGGAGCAGCGTGGGCGCCAGGGCGCCAGGGTGGGGGCAAACGCCCGTGTCGTGGCCGGAGATGAGGTTTTGACCCAACCTCTGCTGCTGCTGTGGCGCGCTGCCTGTCGCCCCACCCCCAGCCTCCAAGAGGAGCAAAGTTAAAAATCTTTTCGAGCAGATGGTCCCTGCTTGAAGGGGGTGGGGGGCGCACAGAACATCAGAGGAGACGCCCCCCCAGCCCCCCGCGCAGGGGGCCCCCGCTAGTGGCGCGTGGAAGCCCAGCGGTGGGCCACTGGAAGGAACAGCCAGGATGGCGCTGGTTGGGCTGCTGGCCCGGGGGGCGGTGGAGACCTCTCCTGCCACCCGCTGCTCCCCTCAGCAGTGTGCTTCGGTCCTTCTGCCTGTTCTGCTCCTCGCTCTGGCTCTGGTGAATTCTCTCACCCTCCCGCGCTTCTGACTATACCCAGTGCATGTATATATAATAAATAAATAAATAAAAACATGCCTGGCTACACATTAACTCTGCAATTTTGGTGCAAATTAACTTTGCAATTAAAAACTCGAAAAAAATCCTCCCGCACAATCCAGCTCTAGCTCCCATCGCCCACAAGGTGCTTCTGACCAGCTGGGTTCCCCGGGCCGGAAGGGCGCTAGGGAGGCTGTGGGTAAGGGGGTGCGGTGGCCTGAGGGGGTGCTGCCGATCATGGGGGGGACGCCTGGCCCCAGCTAGGTAAACCTGTGCGCTTGTCTGGAAGGCAAGGTTCCCAGGGGCGCTGCCCGCCAAGGCTGCCTGTGTGGTCTCCCAGCAGTGCTGGGGGCTGGGAGAAGCCAGAACATTTCTCAAGAGGCAACAGCCCCGGGGACACTGTCTGGCCACTGGGATCCTGGTACGCCACCTCACACCCTCACCCCGACTGCCGGATGCTGCCCACCCTGCACCCCTGATCTCTGGGAGTCAAGGTGAGCTGTGAGGGAGGAGCAAAGCAAATGCAGGCTCCGTGCACGACGAACCCCCAGAGCAGGCCCAGGACCGTGTGCCTATGAGCAGTGGATGCCGGGAGGAGTCAGGCCAGAGCAGGCAGGGGACCAGGCAAGAGCGCTGTCATCTCCGGGGAAGCCCAGAGATTCCCACCCAGGGTGTCTGCTTCCCTGGAAGTGACACAAGGAGCCGTCCCAGCTCTCGAGCTCTGGCAGGAAGCAAGGACATCTGTTCCCGGCCCGGGAGGGTGGAAGGGCCAGGGAGAAAACGGGTGTCCTCCCTGCAGGGGGCCTGGGAGTTGGCTGGGGAGTGTGTGCCTGAGTCCAGCCCCAGGCCAGAGAGACCGGAAGGAGGGGTCACCCGATCAGGCCCCTCCTCTTTCTGGCTGTCAGCAGGGGAGTGGGGGGTGCCCTCACCAGTCCGTGGGCATCCCCACCACTCCCAGTCCCTTCCTCCTCCCCACCCCTGCCAGACCCTCCCCCGCGGCAACCCTGATGGTCCCTCTTTCAGAGAGAGCACCGCGGCTTGGAGACAGTCGTTTGCCTGGGTACTCGGGGTCACTGGGTGTACCCCGCGGATTTGAACCCGGATGTTTCGGACCCCAGGCGGGGGTCTGTCCCTCAGAGAGGAGTGGATCAGACCCCACCTGATGAGGGAGCGGCCAAGTGCGTCCTGGAAACTTCCTCCCTGCACTCAGTCCTCCCCCACCCCCAGGCCCTTCCCGACCCAGGAGCTGTCCAGATCACATGACACTGCAGCACACACACACACACACACACACACACACACACACACACACCCGCCACCAGGGCCCTGGCCCCAGTTTCTGTTCTCTGGGTCCCTGGCACCCGGCGTGCTGGGCTGTGCTTGCTCCATGCACCTTGGGATCTAGGGGCTCAAGCCCCTTCTCCAGCTCCCCGAGATCTGCTCTTAGAGGCGGGGCTCGGGCCCGCAGGAGGGACCGCGGTGAGTCGGGGGCGCCTGGGCCCAGGGCCGGTGTGCAGGCCCGAGGTTGGTTCTGGATGTGATGTCTGAGGGCATCACGTGTAGGTGGAAATTGTAGACTTGGAAGTCGGGGCATTTGGGTTTCCATCCCGCCTCCGGCTCCCTCGGCCACACCAGGGGGTCTGTGGAAGCTCAGGACCTACTCATTGAGCCTCAGCACAGCTCCCTGCAGTCCCATGAGGAAGGGGCTCTTACTATGATCCCCATTTGATAGATGGGGAAACTGAGGCACAGGCGAGCCAAGCAGCAGGCTGGGGTCCCACACAGCCGGGCTATCCAGCTCCAGTGACTGTCCTCACCCACCACACCATGCGGGAAGAGGCTGGCACAGGGGTGAGTGTGACACGTGCCTCTAGCGGGTGGGGGACTTTGGGGGACTGCGCCTTTCTGGGCCTTGGCTTCTGGAAACTTCCTCCATGTGGGTTCTGTGCTCTCCAGGTTGTGAAGATTTAATGAGCTAATAAATCCTTGTCAAGTCCACTCTGGACGTGTTAGGTGTCCTTCCTGGAGTGATTCCGAGTTGCCTAGGATAGAGAGGGGGGCGGACCACCCTGACATCCCACAGCAGGCACAGCTGGGGTTCAGTCCACTCTTTTGTTTTTGTTTTGTAATTTTTTTTTTTATACCAAAGGATTTATTAAAGAACCAGTAAGACACTAGTGTATCATGACTCTGTCACACTGGGCTTTTAACAAGAGCCTTGCTCTACACTCCTGGCGGGGAGGGGCACAAAACACAAATGGATTCTGAAGCATAACAATTAAGAAATAAAACAATGAAAGCAGATTTCTTTTAATGAGAACTCAGAATTAAACTTCAGAGGGACCCAACATCATACTCCCATTCAAAATACAAAAATTTAGTTTGAGCTGCTATTAGCAGGTGGCAGGAGCCACCATCAAATGAATCTTCAAATTGGAAAAATGTTGCTTCACCGCCGCCGCCGGCCCGTCCCCGCCCAACTGCTCCTCCGACATAGCTGCTCCTCCGACATAGCTCTGCCGCCGCCTCCGCCGAGACGACCTTTTTAAAGTTATTTTTTCAAGATTTGTTTATGCATACAAGTCAGAGGTGCAGGGGGTGTGTGTGAGAGAGGATTCACCAGAGAGAGTGGGGAGCAGGACAGGCGGATCTACTGAAATCCACTGCTGAGGGGAGCAGCGGGCGAGACAGGAGAGGTCTGCTGCACCATGGGGGTAGCTCCCTGGCTGGGGATCGAACTCGTGTTGCAGTGGCTGCTGATAGTTTGATAGTGCTGTCTTTAACCCCTGTGCCACTAGGGAGGCCCTCAGTCCACTGTTTTGCTCTGTCCCCAAGCCGTTACACAGGAAGGAGGGCGTCAATAATTGGTGAGCAGGCAGCTGGGACCCCCGGACCAGAAGTCAAAGGAATGGTCGAGTCCGGACGGAGGTGTGGAAGGCGTCCTGTCCCTCCCGGGAGCCCTGCAAAGCAGCACGGGGCCAGAAGAGGCCGACTCCTGGACAAGGGTCTCTTTAAGGTGCTTGAGTTAAGACCAGTTGGCAGGCGGATGAGCGCCCAGGGAGGGGCCGGGGATGATAACAACCCCCCCCCGCCCCCGCCTGGGACACCAGGGCTTGGAAACGGAGCCGTGACTGTCCGCAGGGACCGCCACGCAAGCTAGTGGGATGACAATCCCTTTAACGAGTCCCCATGGGGGACAGGGTTCACATTTACCTTTTCCAAAGTGTGTCCTATTTCCTTGCTCACCACTGGGAGCATCTGAGCCTTAACAGAGAACCCCTAGGGGAACTCCAAAGCCTCTCCCAAAGAGCGGTGCTCCTGCTGGGGTTCAGGCCACGAGGCAAGGTGGGTACGAGAAGGTTGGCAGGGAGCTGGTTTTTATGTCTCAGCATCAAGAGCCCCTGCCACCCGGCTCTGTCCCATTTACAGCCGCCCACGGCACCCCCTCCGCTCGCCTGTCTCCCAGGCCCTTGGCCCTTAAAGGCCGGTTGCTGGTGACGGTTGCGTGAATGAGGAGCATCTCTTTGTCACACTCCGAGCTCTTTCTTTAGAAAAGGTCGAAAGCCTTTGGTGGGAGATGCTCTAATGAGGACCCCGGGGCCCTCTAGAGGGATCAGAGGGGACTTGTTCCCACCCAGCCTCAACTCAGCTGCATCTGTGTCACATCCCACGGAAGCTCATTCTAAGAAGCTTCAGAGGCTTGAGGAGGGAGCGGAGCCCCGGGGAATAAAAGGTCTGTCCGTGGAATGAGGTTTTGTGTTCTTGTCACGGATTTTCAGCGTAATTACCTTACATCGTGCACTGTGATGCCAGTTTCTTAGTGTCTGGGAAACTTCAGTGCGTGCTTGACAATGACAAGCCTCACGCGGGGCTTGCCGTGGGCTGCCTGTGGTTCCACTGTGTGTCTTTGTGGCCGGTGTCTTTGTATGTCTTGTGGTTTGGGATTGCGAGCTCTTGTGTACGAGCATTTAATCTGTGAGAATCCATGTGGTCTTTCTTGTGGAACTGGCCTCCAGAGAGGCCTGCATTTGCTACATGCTCTGGAACTCACCCCACCTTCGCGTCTTAGATTTAGCTTCAGACTTGAGGGTTCTGACCCACGTGGGTAAGGCTAATTCAACCTCAAGTATGTGTCAGAAAGATCTAGAGTCATACTTTCTTGGGATAGATTTCATTTCTATTTTTCTAACAGCGCCAACCATGAGACAGGCAACTTCTCTGACAACTTTTTTGGGGGTGAGGAGGTGAGTTTTCTCCCCCGTTTGTCCTTCCACTGACACAGGAGCCCAGCTATGTTCTCAATTTCTTTTGGCAAGGGCCGTCTCACCCTTGCAGGGGTTGATTCCAAGCTCCTTGGTTACCAGGGTCACAGACCACCACCTGCCCAGCCCAGCCCTGCCCAAAGGCTTGGGGCCGGGATGGCCAGACTGGTGGCTGGTGTGGCAGAGGGAAGGGTGGTGCAGGCGAGGATGGAGCCTGGCGGGCCAGGGAGGCGGCTTGGCCAAAGCAGCTCCTGCAGGATGGGAAACGTGGGATGAGGGTCTGCGGGTCAGGGGCGAGGCGGAGGCCAACACCTGCTTAAGGCCTGGCAAACAGGTGGCTGTGGATGCAGGAGATAGAACAGTGGCCTTGGGGAAGGTGTGAGAGGCTGGGGCTCTGCTTTTGAACCCCCAAGATCTGTGCTTGTTGGGTGAGGGCTCCCCAAGGCTGGTCTCTAACCAGAGAGGCACACAAGCACCCAGGAAACTGGTGTTTCCCCGAGCTGGGAGTGGAGGTTCCTTGTTATTGTCCCACAATTGTGCCCCCCACCTGGTCTATTCTCAACTGGGCTCCGGGGTGACCAGCTTGTTAGGGACCCAGTGTGACAGGACCCCTGGCTATGGGTGCTGGGATTCCAACTGGGGGCCAGCACCTACTAGGCCTTTTCCAGATTCAAGACTAGCCAGCAGCTCAGCTTGATCTGTGTAGGTGCACTCACCTGAGCGCACTCACAGGTTGGCAGGTGGAGAGACTAGGGTGGGGGAGCGCTTGGAAATGGGCGGAGTCGCCCCTCCCTTCCCCTGGAGCCTGATGCTTTTTAAAGACCATCACAGCAGGAGAAATAAGAGACAGACACTCTGAGCCCAGGGGCCACATCTTAGCTTCGGAATGTGACGATTTATTTGGGGGGGCAAAAGAGGCTTTTCACTCCCCCTTCCTGGCATTGATACAATATTGAAGAGCAGCAGAACAAAACATACAAGACAAGAGTAAATCGGCACAAAGCCCCCTCCCCTGGCCCAGAAGAAACCGAATCCAGAACAGAAGCAAAACCCACACCCCAAACGGGCACCTTCTTCACCCGCAGCCTCCAGACAAGGGGTAGGTGGGCTGGGGACCCACCCCCAGGCCCAGGCAGTGCCCCCTTGCTCTCCTGCCCACCCTGCTCGTCTCTGATCTCTAAGCCCTGGAAGCAAGGTTTAGCCAGCTGGGAGCTGAATGGTTGAACCACAAACAACAGCAACAGCACTTCATGTTTTAAATGAGAGAGAAGAAAGAGACAGCGCCCTCCCCAAATATAGAGCTATATATGCATACTTTATATATATAGAATTCATTCGTGCACAATTCATTAAATGAGCTTTTCGAAAATTAAAAAAAAAAATTATAAGATACATTTCTTTAGGGCTTTGTGTTTTTAAATTAAAACCAACAAAAAGAAGTCTCTGTCTCCACTCTGCCCGCAGCAGAGGCCGCCCTCGCCACTCTGTCCCTTCTGCCTTGGCCTCCTTCAGGGGGGCTCGTTTGGCCATCAGCACCCACTGCCTAGCAGAAGCTCTGCATACAGCAGGCGCTCACTCACGTGGGAGGGGGTCCCGATTCCTTCTGGGGAGGCAGGCCCAGGACGTGGGCTCCTTGGTCCCCACCCAGGCTGTCCCCTCATTTCCCCCACCAAGACAGGGGGTCGGGCTGGGGATCACCCCTCTTGGTGTTTTACTCGATTCAGGGTTTTCTGAATCTGAGAGGAGATGCAGACAGAGAAAAAACAAAAACTGTTTAACACGCTCCTTCTTTCTTTTAAAAGTGATTCCTTACACCACACAAGCCCCAGAGAGGCTGCCTTGGGCTAGTGCATGGAGCCTGGACGTGGACTGACCGGCGGGCTCCACTGTCCGGCGTGGGCCAAGTGCAAAAAAAAAAAAAAAAAAAAAAAAAAAAAAAAACCAACCCCAAAACAAAAACCCCAAAGGGTGGGAAAGGTGCATGGTACACGCCCAAGGATCCCCACAGAGGCTCAAGGCTGGGCGTGGCCCAGTCCCTTCACTGAGTTTCCTCTGGGTTGACCCTCACCTGACTGCCGGACTTGTGGGGCCTCCAGGACCTATCCCCCACCTTTTAAAGGGGTTTTCCCCATAAGGCCAGAGCAGCCTGGGCTCTTTACCCAGCAAAGCAGCTAGGCCACCCAGAGGCCCAGTTCCCTCCTCTTTGTGATGGGGTGACCACCCACCCCAACTCTGCCCACCTCACACTGAGCCTGGGGTCATCACCTTGACAGAGCAGAGGGAGGATGGGGCTCCTCTGGCCCCGACCTCTGTGCCCAGAAGTGCAGGAGCCTGGGGGGCCGGCAACCCGGACTCCACCCACCCTCAGCAGCTGCCTGGGCCCCGCAGTGCTTTTCAAGAGGCCTTGCTGCAGACACACCCACCTCACACATGAGCAAGGGAGGGTCAGAGAGGGGAACAAGGAAGAGATGCGGCCCATTTTCCCACCTCAGACCAGAGACACCAGACCTCACCTGTTTCCTATGACACGTGACGGCATTTAAGGGGAGAGGACTGATGCCCCGACCAATGTTGAACATGGAAGGGGATCAGGCTGGGGGTAGGGGGTATTTCACATATAAAAATAAAGCAAACAAGACTGCAACTTCTGCTTGGCAATTAGGCAAACGGGAAAGCAGCTGGGGGGTAAGGGAGGAAGGGCTGGTGGGAGGCTGATCTGTGCAAGAGTGTGGGGGGGCATGCTCTGAGCCACCCCTGCTCTGAGCCACCCCAGGAGAGAGGTAAAGCTCCTCTTGCTCTTGACCTGGTGCCTGCTCAGGTCCTGCAGGGGCGCTGTCCCCATTGGAGCAGTGCGCATGCATGCCCTCTGCGTGCACACAGTGGGACCGCAGGTTTGGGGCTCGGGGCACTCACCCCTTTTCCCAATGGTTACCCCCCATCCCTTAGGGTCACCACCTAAGATTCCCCAGTGTCTACAGCTCCCATCTCCCTGAGCCCATAACCCCCACTTAGTCAGGGGAGTTCAGGGGTATCATGGTCTTTGGGGTGATGGGGAGATGCCCCCATGGGGTGGCAGCAGTAGGGACCAGGTGTTCGAATGGAGGACAGCAAGAAATCCAAGCCACTCAACTCATCAGCCTTCCTGGGGACCCCCACCTGCCCAAATCTAAACTCTCCCTCCCCCTCGACTTGCTTGGCCCCTGCAGCTTCTAGCTAGTTCCCTTGGGAGCAGCTGCCATCCACCCCTTCGAGGAAGGACAGGTGTGGAGTCCGGCCCAGGGCTGTGGGGAGGTCTCTCCCTGCCTCAGGCAAGGGAGGAGGCAGCTGGCTGTGACCCCAGGAGCCGCCACCGGGCCCCCACCCCATCCTAACGCTGCTGTCTCCCCTGTGCAATCACTGCGTTACTATTTTTTCTTTAAATATCGTTCTCCCAGAGCCCCCCACCCCACAGGAACCCCACAATATTTTTTTCTATTTCTTTTTTTTCCTCTTTTTTTGTAATTTTTTTGCAAAACTAATTCTTTCACTTTCCTGTCATAAAATCACCTCTGAAAACACAACTTCTTTACAAAAAAAGTCACGAATGACACGGACTCTCAGGAAAACACATTTCTATGGTCTCTGGAAACACCTGTAACTGGCACCCAGGTGGTCGCTCACCTGGGGTGGGGGCGCAGGGGGAAATCACCTCCAAGGACAGAGGAGAAATACCAGCCCTTATTTGGGGGGAAGCCACTTGGCACTTGGGCGGCCACAGAGCCAACACAAAGGCAGGGGAGGGGAAGGGGAAGGGCGGCCCTGGTCAGCCTCCTGGCCCCTGGCCCTGGGGGAGACTTGGAAGAAAGTATCTTTCCTTACTCAGAACAAAAGGCATTTGTCACTCAATTGGGGGAGCTCTGCCACCTCCCCCGCCCCAACCCATTGCTGGCAAGTGGCTCGGGGGAGACACCTCCCTCCAGCCCCCAACATGTGGCTTAGGCCAAACTGGCGCTGGCAGCGGCCCAGCCTGCTCGCATGGCCACCTCCCGCGGCACCCCCAAGCCTTGCTCTCCCAAAGAACACATCCCTCCTCCGTCCCCTCCTCTGGCGGGCTGGCCGGTCCTCCCAGTGCCTGGCCAACAAAGGGGCTCTGGTCCCTGCCACTGGCAGGGCCGCCTGGGCGCAGCAGGGGGAAAAGCAGCTGCAGCTGCGCAGAGCATGAAGGCCTCCCCGCAGCCCCGCACGGGGCAGGCTGGGCTGAGAGCGCCTCGGCAGTCAGAACCCAGATGAGGGGGCAGGGCAGGCGGGGACCCAGGGCTTCCTCCTTCCTCCCCCGACGCCCCGACGGAATGGGAAGCTGGGCTGGAGGGTCTCCCCTCTCTAACCCTAACCCAGCCCCCACCAAGCCGTGTCTGCAGTGAAGGCCTGGCAGCTCGGGCTGACTACCCCAAAGGAGAAGGGCACAGGGTGCATGACCCCAGCACACACGGGCTGGAAGGGGTGGCCAGCCTCCCCAGAAAGTTCAGAGCTGAGGCCTGCGCGGCCCGTCCATGGCCCTACAGTGAGGAACCATAAAGGCCCCCACTCCGGGAAGCGTGGGCCCAGCACCCAGTGCACGAACACGCGGGGGCAGCGGGCGCACAGCGCAGGCTCCCATGGCGGGTTCTTGAAGCACCTTTGGTAGAGAACTGAAGGGCCTTTAGGTGCCACGTGGTGGCGGGGAGGTGGCTGTTGGGGCAAGGCCCCTGCTAGCTCCTCCCACCTTCCAGAAGGGGTTTAGGAAAGACACCAGGGACCAAGGGGGCCGGCTTGGGGGCTCCTCCAGAAACCAAACTGGTGGGAAGACCCAAGGCATCGGCCCAAGTCCAGCCGCCTGCCCGCCGGCTGTGGAAGGAGGGCCCAGACAGCCTGGTCCTCAGCCCGCGGGGCTTTGCACCCAGGCTGGCCCCGCTGTGTAGGGGTCTTGCTAAGGGGCCGCAGCTGCCGGGTTAGCACCGAGAGGTCAGATGCTGTGCGAGAGCAGGAAGCAAGCTGGGGAGAAACAAGGGAGGAACGTGGGGGAGCAGCTGAAGCCCAGGTTCTGGGGCCCACTGTGTGGGCAGGGAGGGTGCTGAGACAAGAGGGAGGACTTCCCAGTGCCCAGGCCCCCTCCAGACCCCCCCACCACTGGGCCTCAAGGGGCGCCAGCTGCCCAGCCCCTTCCCCGGGTCAACACCGAGCCACTGGAACAAGCAAAGCACAGGCAGAGGTGTCTGAGGGTGTGGGCGGAAGCAAGGGTATGACTTTGGGTAGGAGGGCCCCGCCCAAAGGCCCCCTCCTAGCTGGGCCCCTCACTTGCTGGCCCCGCTGCTGCCACCCGCAGCTGTGGCACCTGCCACCCCAGCAGCCACCTTCTCGAAATCCTCGGGGTTGCAGAACTCCTTGATAGTGACCGTCAGGAGGTTGCTGGTGACATCGGTGACAACCACGTTGGAGCAGGGGGACATCTCGGGGCGCCAGTCCCCAGCCTCGGGCTCAGAGGTGGCGCCGGGGGGCTCCGGGGCTGGGGGGAGAGCCGGGCCGGCAGCAGCGACTTCGGGAGGCGCCCGCTGGCTGGTGGCCCCCGCCTCGGGCGGCAGGGACAGGTCGAGCACTTCGGGCTCCCGCCAGTCGGGGGCCGGCGCGCTCCGGGTCTCGGGGAGCAGCTTGGGGGGCGCGTCGTCCGGGTCGGAGGACGGCGGTGCCGGCGAGGGGCAGCCCGAGGAGCTGGAGCTGCGGGCGTCGTAGGGGGCCGCGGGCGCCGCGAGCAGCAGCCCCGGGCCCGGGGGCGCCGCGAGGTCGGCCTTGCCGGCGGGCGGGGGCTGCGCGGGGCCGGGCGGGGGCTTGTTGTACAGCGAGAAGGAGCCGAACTTCATGTGGCGGATCTGCGTGCGCAGGATGCTCTCGCTGAACTTCTTGCTCTTGCCGATGACGCGGTTCCGCGAGGGGACCTTGGGGCGGGCCAGGGCCCCGCCGGCGCCCTGCCCCGCGGCCCCCGCGCCGGCGCCCTTGTCGATCACCTTCAGGTTCAGGATGATGCGGCTGCGCTTGGGCTCCCGCGGCTTCACCTTGCGGTTGATGATGCGCACCGTCTCCGAGAAGGGCGAGATGGGCGGGCGCAGGCCCGGGCTGCCGCCCTGCGGGTCTGGGCGCGGCAGGGGCCGGCGGGACATGCGGTGGCAGCGGCGGATGTCCTTCTTGAGCCGGTGCACGGCGGCGCTGGAGTGCAGCTTGGGCGAGGAGGCGCTGGCGCCGGGCTTGACGGAGAAGTGCACATCGCTGATGCGGAGGGCCTCGGCCTGGGCCCGCGCCTGCGGGCAGAGCGACCGTGGCGGGGGCTGCCCCGCCCCGCGCCCCCCAGGGCAGTCTGTAGCTAAACCCTCCCGAGAGCACCCCTGGCCCCTTCTTGGCAATAAAGGAAAACCGAGGTCAGAATTGCAGCAAGTGCCCACGGTGGGCGGAGGGTGCCAGCGGGTTCAAGAACCACTGGCGCGCAGAGCCTGGCCAATGGGCAGCAGGACCTGCGGCTGTCCTTGCTGACACAGGAGGGCCACCAACCAGGGGCTCTGAGAAAGAGCCAGCCCAGCCTGGCAGCCCTCCAGAAAGGAGGGATGCGCACCTAATCACACCCTGATTAGTCCTCCTAACCTATTTGCAGGGTCCCTTCACCCCCGACAGCCCGCAGCTCCACTGCAGAATTGCTTCCCAGGTAGACCACCCTGCCTGTGGTGCGGCCCCTGGCCCCTTGGCCCGACCTCTGTTCCCAGCCCCTGGCACTTCCCCTCCTGGGTCTGATTCTTCCGTTTGCCTGGGCCTGGGTTCGAGCAAATCGGTGCCAGTGGGAACTAGAAGCCAGCACCTAAATCCTGGTTGGTAGCCACCCCCCCACACACACACACACGGGTTTGGAGGGGCTGGACTGAGAGATGGGACCATATTCTCTGTGCCAAGATGGCCTAGGGACCAGCAGCAGAGCAGCAGTCAGTGAGCAGGCAGGATGCTGGTCCAGGCAACTCACTGGACCTAGACCAGGTGAAACTCCTTTGCAGGAGTTCACCTGTTAGCGCATGGGAGATGTGGGTGTAGCAGGGCCCTCAGGGAAGCCAGGTTCAAGGCAAGGAACTCAAGACTGACCACACTACCCTCCACGGCCAGCATCTCCTTCCCAAAGCAAGAGCTGAGAGCACATGCCAGCTGCTGGGGACTGAACTAGGCCACACAGCCTCTATGGGGGAGGGGCTGTGCCCCACGGGGACCACCAGCAACAAGCAATTAGCACACAGGGTCATGCAAGAGGCAGTATGGGGCCTAGAGGAATGGAGATTAGGGGGGGCACAGGCCCCAGTCTTGGGGGGTGTGGCCATCCCGGCCAAGCTGAGTGTGCGCTGGGTGTCCCGAGCCCCATCGTGCCCGGGCGGCAGCAGAGCCCAGGTGGCCTGCTGAAAGGACACCGCCAGGACAGAGCAGGCAGAGAGCATGTGGTGGGGAGAGGACGCAGGGGGCCAGGACCGAAATCAATGGTGGGGATGGGAGAGTGGGGTAGATGATTCTCCTACAGAAATCCCGGGCCTCTGCAGTGGGAACTCTGTGGGCAGAGAGGGCCTTGGTCCATGGGGAGAAGGGGTGGTGGCAAGGACACCTTCCCCTGGAGTCTGTGAAAGCGGGATCTGTGGAGTCTCTGGTAGTGCTGGGCCCTCACCCAGTACCTGAGGGCTGCCTGGGGAACACTCCCTTTGGCCAGCAGGTGGCAGCGCAGAAGGCTATGGCTGCGCACCCTCCCACAGGAAGGCCAGGGAGCCCAGCCTTTCCTTGGCGCTGCCAGCAGGGCCTTTGGCAGGCCTCTCTGATCAGGCTGCCACCTGCTTCGCACAGTGGCTGACATGCAGCAAGTACCCGTTAAGTACTAGATTTCTGCATGGGGGTCGGCCGGTGAGCAATGTGTTTTAAATGTAAGGTTTCCAAACTTCCTACAAGAAAAATTCCTTACTTTAAAATTCTGCAGTTTTGCTATTTTTTAAAAAGGGGCTGGCTTACTCGTCCTCCTCCTCTGTCCTCCCCAGGTGGAGAATTGTTTGAGGGTAGGACCTGGGTCTGCCTGTGAATTGAAAAGGTGCAGCTGATGTGTTCAGCACACTCTGGCCCTGAAAGGCGTGGCCCTGAGGGGTGGGCACTAGTGCAGATGGCAGGGAGGCTAAAGACCCAGATGCTACTGGACTCTGAACACAGGCAAGGGTCAAGCTCTCCGGCCTCTGTTTCCCCATTGTGTAAAATGGGGTAATGCCATCCTCACCGGCTCCTGATCCCTGTAGAACCGTTCTCGGCAAGGAGCGAGCCCTGTTTACTGTACACAGCCCAGCCCCAGGTGCCTCCACCGGCCAGCACACCCCCACTTCACTCACACCACCTGGCCCTGCCTCTCTGCACCCTGCCACACAAACTGCAGTCTCCAGTGGCCTGTGTGTGTGTCCACCTTGCCCCTGTAACCTGCTGTGGACTCTGGGGGAGAAGGTGAAGAAGAGAGACAGGAAGCTGGGGGGTGGGGCTTCACAAGTCACTTCCCTCTCTGGACCTTGACTTTTCTCATCTGTGAAATGGGGATGATACTCCCCCACTTCATCGTGTTCTTGGGTGGATGAAAGGAAATAACCCACGTGGGGGGCTCAGCACTGGCTCAGACCCACGGCCAGCTCGGGAGGGTGAGCTATCAAAAACCAAACTAAAAAGGCATCTTGTGAGTCAGGGTTCATGGTCATTACTTGCTTCACCGCTAGAGGGTGCTGCGGCCGCACTGAGAGGCCATCTCGGCCCTCCAGCCGCCCGGGCCTTCCTCCTAAGATGCCTCAAGGGTTAAGGCTGCTCCGAGACCCCCTAAGAAGTGCAGAGGTGGGGGGTGGGGGATGTCACAGAAATACAGAGTTCTGGAAACCAACTCTTTCTTTTTTCACTTCTGCTTCGAGTCCAAAGCAAATCCTTACATATGCACAGCTCTTTGGGGGGTGGGCGGGGTGGAGAGGCCCACCCCGCCCTCCTTGGTCTTTGAGTGTTTCTCGGACACATTGGTGATTCTGGATTTCTGCATACTGCCAGGCCTCTTCTCTGTGGAACCCCCCCTATCCTTCCTGTGCCAACCGCGACAAAGTCACAGGCTGTAGGGGCAGGTAGGGGCCCTGAGACAACCTGCACTCATGGGGCGACTGTGGTTACCCAGGGAGGTCTGCCTGCAGTCTTACCTGCCACCCCGATCTCTGGTCCTCCCATTCCCAGGCTCTGTTCCTTCTCAACAAATATATAAAATAAAGTAGCCCCCCCCATTCTAAGATGGCTTCCTCTAGAGCTAGGTCCCCCTCCCTCCCCAAGGCGAATGTGCTAAGCTTGCACTGCCCCCACCCCCATCCTTACTGGCACCCCCCCAGAAACAGGAGATAGGGGAATGAGGCTCAGCGCCCTGAAGCCAGCAGCACAGTCTGGGTCATAAACAAAGTGTGACGATTTAAGGTCAAATATAAGTTGGGCCCCTAACGAGGCTGGAAGCAGGCACAAACCCTGAGGGGGGGGCGCTGGGGCGGGGGAGGCAGGTGGTCCCCAAATTCCTCTCCCAGGTGCCTGCGGGGGGAACCCGCTCTCCCTGCCCGCGTTGGGTTCTCACTCCAGGTAAAACCCTACCAGCTGCAAGCGGAGGGGCAGAGGCGGCCTTCCGCCACCCCTGGGTGGGCCGTCCCGCCGGCCTCAGCAGCGCCCCTCCCCAGCCTCCCAGGCCCCGGTTTGTCATCCAAGAATAGCCTCCCCGTGGCACCCCACTCCCCGGCCCCTCCGTCGAGGCTGGCCGGGGCCGGCTGCCAGCGGCTCCTCAGGGGCTCCGGCCTCCCGCTGCCCAGCCCGGGCCCCTCTGGGAAGGCCCGCCCGCCAGCCGGCGCCGCGGACTGTCCCTCCCCTGCAGGCCCCGCGCGCGCCGGGCAGGGGCCCGAGCGGGGGCTGCTGGGGCTGGGCCAGGTTACCTTCAGGAGGAAAGTTTTGGGTTTGGGTCCCCTCTTCTTGGGCCCATACAGCTCACGCTCTCTCTCCCTGCGGCGAGAAACGCCAGAGGTCAAACGAGCCCCTCCCTGGGCCCCGCTCCGCGCGGCCGCCCGGCTCCCCCCGGCTCCCCGGCCCCGCCGCCCCGGCCCCGCCCCGGCCCCCGCCCGCCGCCCCGGCCCCCCGCCGCCCCGACTCACTTCTGCTCGAAGGCCGCGATGAGCCGCGAGTCCAGGATGTTCTCCTCGGGCTCCCAGGTGCTGTACCTGCGGCCGCACGCGCGTGAGACGGGCCGGCCCGGCGCCGGGAGGGGCGCGGGGGACCCCCGGGGAAACCGGCCCGGCCCCGCCCCTCCCCCCGCGCGGCCCCCACACTCACTTGATCGCCCACCCCTTCCACTTCACCAGGTACTCGATGCGCCCCTGCAAAACAGACGGAAGCGCGGATGGGGGCGGGGAGGGCGCGGGGCGGGCGGCGCGGGTAGCGGGACCGGGAGCCCCAGAGCCCGCGGCCGGGCGCCGGCGGCGGGAGGCGCGTCCCGCCCCGGGCGGCCGCTCACCTTGCGGATCCGCCGCTTGATGATGGACTCGGCCGCGAAGACCCGCTCGCCCACTGCAGACAGCTCCATCTTGCTCAGCGGCACCCACAGCCCATAATACTCCCCGCGCCCGCGGCCGGTGCTGCACCGCTCGCGCACGCGCCGCAGCGCTCAGGCCCCGGCGGGGCGCGCGCTCGCGTGCCAGCTGCGGGCCGTCACGTGACCCGCGGCGGCCGCGCCGTTGCCAAGACCTCCCCTCCCCCGGGGCGGTTGCTAGGGAAAGTGTGCGCACGCGGGCCGGGGGCGCGCGCGGGCTCTTAAAGGGGCCTCGCCCCGCGGCCGGAGCCCCGGCCCCGAGCCGGCCGGATGCAGGGCGGAGGATGCGAGGCCGGGGCCGGCGCCGAGCGCGCTCGCCCTTTTTCGGGCCCCTCTCCATCCACCTGCCCAGCCCGGCTGCTGACCACCTCCCCCTCCTTTCAACTCCTCCCAGCAAATCTCACCTGGCCGAGGAGTCGCTGCAGCCTCTGCGCATCCGCCGGGCGCAAGTTTGCAAACAGTTAAAAATGATGCAGCAGAAATGCGTTTGCTGCTGCCTTGCTGGGCCCTGCGGGAATTTTTTGAAAACGTTACCTCCCCCCACACATACACCTTATCCATTATTTATGTTATTCGTGGGAGTGTGGTTTTGTAACCAGTTCAGATGAATAAAAACAAAAAAAAAAAAATTAAAAAAAAAAAAAACGCCACCGCAGGGAGGCAGGGCTGCGGTGAATGGGGGTGAAGGAGGGCCCGGGTGATGTGTATTTTCACTGGGGTCTTGGATGACACCTGCTCGGAGGCCTGGGGGGTGCCCGGCGAAGGGGCTGCAGGGTGAGGACAGGCTTGCTTCACCCCAGCGTGGGCCGAGCTGGGTCAGCGGTGGGTCACTGGACAGAGGCCGCCCTCGCGGTCAAGTCTACGGGTTTTCTGACTCCAGGCCCCCCATCTGGTCACCCTCCTGCCGCCTGCAGTTCCTCTGATGGCTCCACCATTGCCTGCTATTCAGCGAGGCTGGGGAGACTGCCTGGAAAGACACAAAGTGGAGCAGCCCCACAAACCCTCCGTTGTTGTTGTTTTTGATTATTTAAATTTTATTTTTATATTACACCAACTGTCTTGTTCTTTATGAACTAAAAAAAGTAAGAAAAAAAGCACCTGTCCATCTCCACCAAACCCTTGTTTATATCTTGACAAACCCCTATCTTTCTGGATAAACAAACTACATATGTATCGTGTGTGTAGTATGTATTTTTTTTAAACAAAATGGGATCATATGATTTACCCTGTCTGCTTTCACCGGATGACATGAAGCAGAAGCCCTTTGGTGTGACTCAGTACAGATCTCACCTTCATTTTAGTGACCCCAGCAGGCCCGGGAGGTGGACGGGCATGGGCGTGTGGGAAGGAGCTCCCAGTCTCTTGCTTTGTGATTTATTAGGACTTTTACATTTCTGTGCTGCAACACGGGTTCCCATGGTTTGAATCAGCCTCGTGGAAATTTTGGCTTCTTGCCCTGCCTCTGCAGACTTGTGCTATTAGCACCTTGGAAGAGTCCCTGTCCCCCTTGGAAGTCCACATACATACTCCTAAGAACTAGTTGTGTGTGTGTGTGTGTGTGCGCACACACACGTGCGCACACATGTGCAAATTTGGGGTGCCCTAGGCTTGGGGACTTGTGGCAGGTGAGAAAGGCCCCTCTCTTCCTTACTTTGTGAATCCTGCTAGAATAAAGATGAATGACTTTCCTCTGGCCACTGTAGCCAATGACCATGCATTTATTGACTTAAAGGTGTAATCTTTCTTACAGTTAGAAGGTTAGCAGTCCCAAATCAGTGTCGCTGGGCTAAGGTTGAACGAGCCTCAGGCTTGGTTCCCTCAAGGGTCTAGGAAAAATCCGTTCCTTGCCTCTTCCAGCTTCTAGAAGCTGCTAGAATATCTCTCGGCTCATGGCTGCATCATGGCAATCTTTACTCTGCCTTCCTCTAACTGATCCCTCTCTCTCCCTTCTTATAAGGACACCATGATGGCATTGGGCCCATCCAAATAATCAAAGATATTCTCTCCATCTCTGCAGCCTTACTTAATCATATCTGGAAAGTTCCTGTTACCATAGGATAACATACCTTACATGGAAAGTATCCTGTACATAGGTTCTGGGGCCAGAATGCATTATTTTTGTGGGGTGCATTATTCAGTTGAGCCCAAAAGGATGCCCTGGGAGTCTAGATTATTAGATGGGGTCCTTTGGAGAACCCAAACCATAGGCTGCATGGGGATAATCCGAGGGGACTTACTACAGTTGGCAAAACCGATGGTATAGACTTGAGAACCAAGGGCTGCTGATTAAATCCCCGAGTCCAAACCCCCGAGAACCAGGAGCTTCAAGGTCAGAGGCAAGAAAAGTGGAGAGACAATTCACCCTTCCTCTACCTTTTTGTTCAGTTCAGGCCCTCAAAGCTTAGGGGATGCCTGTCCGCGCGGTGAGGGTGGATCTCTTCACTGAATCACATGCTAATATCTTCCAAAACACTCACAGACACTCCAGGAACATTTCCCAGCTCTCCGGGCACCCCTGCCCAGTCTAGCTGATACCTAAAATTATCCATCACCCACCCACTGGTATCGCTGCCCCCCAGACATGGCTCTGGAAACGCCATGATGGAGGTGCTGGGTCCCTTCCCTCGAGGAAGTGAGGTGCTCGGAAAGATCAGGGGCACGTGCAAGTCCAGCTGTGCCATTTCTAGTCGCCAGCCTCTCTGAGCCTCAGTTTTCTTCATTTGTAAAATGGAGGGAATGATTGCTGTCCTAGAGGATTCTTGCGAGGATAACAGGGTAACATATGTACAGCGCTCTGAAGTCTGTGGGGCACAAAGGCGGGTTTCGATAGTGGACATGTGTGCAGCACTGCCCTGCCCAGCTCACAGCTAGAGAAATGCACATGCACACAAGCACACACCTGCGCACACATGCGTGCACACAAAGTAGACACACGTTTTCTTCCAATCAAAGTCAAGTTTATCAGCTCCATTCTAGAAATGGAAACTCTGTTGGCCAAAAATAACACTGAACACTTTGCATAACATTCTTTTTTTTAAAGATTTATTTATTTATGCCTACAAGAGCTGGGGTACAGGCCAGAGATGCGGGGGGTGAGAGGATTCACCAGAGACAGAGTGGGGAACAGAACAGGCAGACTGACGAAATGCACTGCTGAGGGGAGCAGCGGGCGAGTCAGGAGAGGTCTGCTGAGCCATGTGGGTTGCTCCCTGGCCAGGGATCGAACTCGTGCTGCAGAGGCTGGGATTGCTTCATAGTGCTGTGCTTAACCCCTTGTACCACCAGGGAGGCCCCTGCATAACATTCTTTATACGAAGACTCTGAGTACTGTTTCACAATCAATAGTAACTAATTGGATCCTCGCACCATCCTGCAAGTAGACGCTATTATTATTCTGTCTCACTGTTGAGGATACTGGCTTTCTACCCAAACTTGGAAGACACGGGGGTGAACCAAACCCAGGCGTTATGTCTGCCAGGGGGCCTGTATCTCCCCAGCCCCCGTGAGGGCACCGTGTGCGTAAGATGCTGGGGATCAACAGCTGCAGACCCACAGCCCAGGACAATGTGAGCCCAGGAGAAAGGAGGCCTGGGTCACTCCTGAAATATGGTGCTGGGACATTATTGCCCCCAAAGAAAGGCGAACTATTTTTAGCAAGAGGGCAGTGAGTCGTTTGGAAATATGCCTGAATATGGTCATAATAGGGCCGGGGACCTGGGGAACTCCAATTTTGGCAGAGGAATCGTTTTAGAAATGCGGTTCTGACTGAGTCACCCTCATGTAACAGTCTTTGACACCGGCAGGAGCATGAATGTCAACTGGGGTGGGGGGATCCTCTCAGGGGTGTGATGCTGGTCGCTGTCTCTAGCAGCCCACGCGCTTTCTCATGGCTAAGGGGCCCTGCTTGCGGGTTCCCTCCCTGCCCCCATCCATACACAACCACAACCACTTCCCACAGTCTCATTGAACCCCTTGCTGCTTCCTGAGCCATCCCTGCTTATTCACACCTTTGCACCTCTGGTTCATGTGAGAAGCACCTACATATCTTTCGAAACTCAGTTCTGGGGTGTCCTTTTGCATGAAGCCAATCCTGCCCCCCAGGTAGAACTGGCCAACCTTCCTTTGCTTTGTTTGGATGTATGCGGAGCTCCAGGAACACAGGAGAGTTCTGTTTTGTCACTTGTCATTTACCTGTACCCACAGGGCCCTGACACTAGGGAACCAGCCAGCTAATATTTTCTGGGTACCAGTCATGCTCCGAGCACTACTCTAGGCACTGGAGAAATGATAGCCAAAAGACAGGCAGGCCCCGTCCCTCTAGAGACTTCCATTTTTATGAGGGCACCAGACAGACAACAAACTCATAAACAAAGAGATGATTTTCAGGCCGGATATGTGTTATAAAGAGACTGACTAGTGTCCCACTGTAGAGAGGAACAGGGTGTGTAGGTGGGTGCTCAGCTAGAGTGGTCAGGCCAGTCCTTTGAGGAGCCACATCTGAGAAGAGGTTTGCATGAGGCTCAGGAGGCAGCTGCATCAACCAAAGGGAAGAACTATCTAAGCAGAAGGAGCAGCAAGTGGAAAGGCCTTGAGGCAGGGCCATGCTTCCAAGGGACAGAAGGAAGCTGGTGGGACTGGAACGGAGTGGTTGGGGAGACTGAAGTCTCCAAGGGTGGCAGGGGCCCCACGTGCAGGGTCTCAGAGGCCTGGAAGGAGAGCCTGGCCTTTGTTTTAAGCACAGTGTGGCGTCTCCAGGAGAGAGCTCCCGGCGAGGAGAAGGGGCCTGGCCTGCTTAGCTTGATCTGAGGCGAAGCTGTGGATTGTGGATATCCTGAGTGTCTGCCGTGGCCCATCCTCCTGATATTAGAGGGAGGCAGAAAGCTGTAAATAAAAACGGAAAAGCTGTCCCTGGAATCTCCAAGCTTGGGCAACCTCTTGCAGAAAGGTCAGCAGGGAGGAAGCCATTCCTCTCTGGTCTGCTGGTTAGTTTGCACAGACATTGAGCTTCTGTGCCCAGACTCTGCAGATCAAAACAGTTTGTTTCTCTCCAGGATAGCAGCCTGGCTTGCTGAGGCTGGTGGCTCCAGCAAGGTCAGCGGGACTCCGAGGTAGACAATGCCCTGGTGGAGAGCTGCCTCCTGAGCAATTATAGATACAAATGAGAAGATTCTGGTGTGCATGTGTCCCTCTGGCCCCCGGACCCTCCCTCTTCTGGTGAATGCAAAACAGATGAGAAGGAAAGTTCCCCGGCTGTTCGCTTTCATCTCCCAGCAGAGCCGAGCCAGCTTTGTGCAAACTTGTCCTCTTCCTGCTCTTCCTGTTTTACTGGGAAGCTTTATTTTTTTCAGATACTTTTCAGTTTGGGGAGGGTGAGGAATGTTAATATTTCTCCAGACTCTTTTCACACATGGAAAGGTTAGGGCCACCTGACAGGTGGACAGGTGTGTGTTGGAAGGTTGTATCTGAACCAAGAGAATGTTCTGGTTGGTTCCATACCTGTCCAGCCAGGTAGCCCCCTGCTAGGCACAAGGACCAGCATACTGGCCAGGAAGGACCTACTTACTTCACGCTAACCTAGATGGTGTCACCCACCCCCACGCCCCGCCCCAACCCTCCAAGGACCACGTCCTCTATGGGGTCTGCTGTCGGCTGGAATGTTACTTGACCCTGAGTAACCGTGACCTCCAATGCATTAATATCAATGTCTTTTGATGCCCTTAAAAGTGTTTCTTGCATGCATAAATAAATCAATCTTTTAAAAAATATTAATGTTCAATTTATTAAAGTCACATAAAGGGAATAAACCTACTCTGTCCTTAAGCTTTTAACTTCAGCTTAAAACACTTATTATTTTAATGATAGATCTGGCAAAATTTTGCAATCACTTTCAAGGAGACTTTGATTATTTTTTTTTTAAAGATTTTTCGTTTATGCACACAGGAACTGGGGTACAGGCCAGGGATGCAGGGGGTGAGAGGATTCAGCATGGACAGAGTGAGGAACAGAACAGGCCGATCCACCAAGATACACTGCGAGACAGGAGAGGTCCGCCACTCCATGCGGGTGGCTCCGAGGCCGGCTGGGGATCGAACCCATGCTTAAGAGGCTGTGGATAGCTTCATAGTGCTATGCTTCACCCCTTGCGCCACCAAAGAGGCCCCGAGACTTTGATTAATTTTGGCCTCATTTGCAAACTTAAGCTCCATTAAGCATTTCATATTGCATTATCTGTCACATACACTATATTTGCTTGACTTCCTATATATAATTGGCTGACAAACCTTCTCAAGGACTTAAGCAATTCTTATAAATCTAACACATTGAACGTATCAATATGATGACCTTGAAGTTCAATGAGCTGTGTATAGAAAAGAAAAATCCTAAATTCAAATATTGCTCAATTACGAATTTTAAATTGGAATCTCAAGGCAATCTATTAGTTTAGTAGACCAAGTTCTCTTAAGCACTCTGTAGCTGTAAAGTAGCAAAATTGCCTTAACACAAAAATAGTAACACTTCAATTTTTGTTCTTTTTACCGTTTCTGGACATTCCATTGATGAAATTTTGTATTTCTTTATCTCTGAAGATATTAAAATGTCTAAACACCTTTGCACAGCATGCTATCAACAGCTAGTGTTCACTACGCAGCAGGCTTTTGCAATATAACAAAATACCCCCAAATTCAGTGATTTAAACCAATGCTTGCTATTCTTTTACAAAGAACAGTTTTATTGATATATAATTGATATATAACTGCATATAGTTAAAGTGTACAACTTGAGTTTTTTAAAGATTTATTTTATTTATTTATGCATACAAGAACTGGGGTGTAGGACAGAGGTGAGGGGGTGAGAGGATTCACCAGAGACTGAGTGGGGAGCAGAACAGGCAGACTGACTGAAATACACTGCTGAGGGGAGTAGCAGGGAGACAGGAGAGGTCTGCTGCGCCCTGTGGGTCAGCTCCCTGGCCGGGGTGCTGCAGTTGCTGCTGATAGCTTCATAGAGCTTCGACTTTACCCCTTGTGCCACCAAGGAGGCCCTTGATGAGTCTTGACATATGTATGAATCTGTGACCCCATCGGTCAAGGCAGTGACACAGCGTCACACAGAAGTGGAAGGTCGATGCAGGAGGCTGGAATGCAAAAGCCCACCAGGAAACCCACCTAGAGAATTCAGACAAAGAACCTCCCCGCCCTCCCCCCTACAAATCTTTTCTAGCCCTACAAACTTTTTCCCGCCTTACAAACCCAGTTTCCCACCTGACCTCTCCTCACCCTATAAAAGCCTGCCTCCCCCCGACAATGTGCGCGGCTTCACGGATCCCCACCTTGGGTCTGTGAAGTCCACCCGGGGCGCAATAAATTTTCCCTTCCTTTGAGAAAGCTTAGCCTGGCTCGCCTTCCCTTTACCGCGCCCAACCTTTCAAGAAGTCCCTTGGGACTCCCTCTCCCTGGCTGCCCTCACCTCTCCCACGTCCTAGGCAACTCCCGATCTACTTTGTGCCAATGTACACCTGATGGAACTTTTTGCTTGGTTTCTGTCCATTGAGCCTAATTATTTTAAGATCCATCCACATGGTGTGTTTGCTGTAGTTTCTCCCTTTTTAGTGCCGAGTTGGATGCTCTTGTATGGCTATGCCCCGACTTATTTACCTGTGGGCAGGTCAAGTCACCTTGCTTGTGCTTTTGTGTGTCAAGTGGGACAGGTCGGAACTGGCCTCCAGGGACAGCTTGGGTCTCAGCTGGCTCCAGGTCTCGTCTTCTGGCACTGTTCTTCCGCTAAGGCGGGGGCAGGGGGACCAGTCCCCCCACACACACACAGAGCACACCCCTGCCTTTTCCCCAGGAAGATCCCAAGAACCCCATTAGCTGAAGTCTGTCCCACGCCCAAGTCCAAGCTAACAGGATGGGGGCGGATCTACCACCCACGCGGCAGGGAGAGGGGAGGAGATGCAGGCCGTCCTGCTTGCCGTGGTTCCACTTCCATTTCCCACTTTGCTCTGGGCTCGACAGCGAGGCACCTACAGTAGAAACTGTGCTTTGCATTTTGATCTTTTCCTGCGCGATCTGCTGCTCCCCACTCTCGTGACCACAGCAGCATGCACTGAAGTTGTCAGGATCTGAGTGATGAGAGGTTATGTGCATTGACATTGTCTTGACCTTGGCTGCTTGGAAGGCTCAGGGCATTTGAGACAGAGCAAGTTCAATCAGAAAGCAAGCGCTTGTTTGTGAAGACACTGGTAAAAAAAAACACGGAAGAGCAGATAAGAACCTGGCAGGGCAGAGAGGCCCTGCCTCAGTGGAAGTTAGCAGGTAGGCCTGATAACCAACCTCTGCTTGTGAACATGGCCTGGGTCCCAGTGCCTTCCTGCCTTGGTGAGCCAGCAGGGACTCGCTGGGGGCTGATTGCTGACACACTCCTCCCTGCTGGCCGAAGAATGTCAGGAACTCACTCTCTGAACTGGGCCGGCTCACTCTGCGTGGCCAGTTTCCCAAAGCTAAGGGGGTCGTTACCTTCCCCTTCTCCTATTCTGCTGTGATTGAATTGTGTGCTTATATTACTGTAACGCAAACCTCGCCCACCCCAGCGCCTGGTAAATTCATATTATGATCATATGCCTTTGACTTAAGTAGTAAGTAAAGATCTTGAACCTGCTGACACAGGCAGTGAGCGGCAGCTCCCGCCAGCTCCCGCCAGCCTGCCATCACAGGGGATACCACCTCCCACTGCTATTCTCCAGCCTCATCTGAAGAGAGAGAAACTGGTGGTCTGTTGCTATAGCGCCCAGCCATCCTGTCATGAGTTTTAGTTCAATGCATCAGACGTTCTACAAACCCAGGATTCTCTCCCTGTGGACAGTCACAGTGAGAGCCCCACGACCATCCGGGTTGTCCTGCCGGCACAGCGTAGGATAAACGTTGTGATGTCATCAGCACTTCATTGTGAACAGGCTCCTGTTCAATGGCTGCCCAGGACAGCAGCACTGCAGGCCAGGGCGGGTGGTCTGAGCCAGGCTAAGACATGAGGCTTGGTTGTTAGGTATATTTTCGACTTAGGATATTTTCAATTTAGAATGGCTTTATTGAAACATAATCCCATTATAAATTGAGGAAGATCTGTATCTGTGGAACAATGAACCAAAATAGCATCACAGGAAGGCAATGTTTCCCCATCTCTGGGCACCACCCCCCTTCTCATATTCAGACGTTTGGTTATCTTAAGGACTTACTTTCTATGCCCCTTGAAATGTCAATAACTAACTGCTAATCCCAGGCTTTTCTGGATGCCTAAAAACCAGCATCCTCCATGATACAGATTGCCAAGCAGAGGAACAATGTTTACACACTTGTACATGAGTATCATTTTCAACTAGTTTGGACTATGGAAAATGTCATTTCAAATGATAGCAAAAACAGACTATTTTGCACATGGAAAGCTTGCCCCTAGTGAATATTTCAGGAAAAAGCTTTTCAAGGATTACTCCAGAAAAAAAAAAAGCACATCTAAAATAGAAGACAGGCACTTTAAGCATATTTCAGTAAAATGTACAGTAAATCCAGATAACTGATGTGATTGTGCATCTTAATAAAAATTAAAATGAAAACATTTAATGAAGGTGTGCTTTAAGTCAGGCTTAGTTCGAAGTGTTTTCAGTAACTACATGGACTCATTTGACCCTCACACTAGCCTGCTGGGGGATGTCCTTTGATTAGCCCAAATTTAAATATGAGTCAAAGAGAGGTTAAGAGAACTTCCCAGAATCACAGGTCCAGCAAATGGCACAGCCCAGAAGCCCAGAGACTCCAGGGACTTGACTCCAGGGACTTGTCTCCAGTCGCTGAGAAAGAATTTCCAAAATAAAAGGAGCATAATTAAAAAACCCAACTTTTCTAACTTAAATTCCAGCTGATTTTAATGAAACATGTGCTAGGGTGGAGGTAGGAGGGAAAAAAGTGTACTGGAGTTTGATCATTTTTAGAATGGAATTTTATGTGTATTGACTGCTTCCTTTTTATTGCAATATGATGGAGATACAACATTGTATTAGTTTTTTAGGTGAATAATGGTTTGCTATATGTATATATTATAAAATAATTCTTTTTAGACATTTCAAAATGCCAAAAGAAAATTTTTTTAATTTTTTTAAAAGAAAATTTTGTTGACACCAAAATGTGACCATTACTCCCAAGTATGACTGACTTTGTTTTTCCTGATAATAAAAACAATATATACCCACAGTGAAAAAAATTACACAGTACCTAAAGTATGAATAAGAAGGTAAAATAGCATTCTAAATTCTACCATCCAGGGCCTCCCTGGTGGCACAAGTGGTTAAGACGCACCCCATGAAGCTATCCACAGCCACTGCAGCACAAGTTCGATCCCTGGCCAGGGAGCAACCCACATGGCCCAGCAGACCTCTCCTGTCTTGCTGCTGCTCCCCTCAGCGGTGTATTTCAGTCAGTCTGCCAGTTCTGTTCCCCACTCTGTCTCTGGTGAATCCTCTCACCCCCCACATCTCTGGCCTGTACCCCAGCTCTTGTATGCATAAATAAATAAATCTTTAAAAATAAATAAATAAATAAATAAATAAATGCTATCATCCAGTGATAACCTTTGGTATAGTTCGCTGAATGGCCTTCTGGATATCTCCTCATACACATAAATGTCTGGGTATCGATCTATTTATCTCTATATACCTGTGTATGTATGTATCCACCCACCCACCACCCATCCATCCATCTATTCCTTTCCCTATCAGTAACTATTGATCCCCATTATCTTTCTAACAGCTGTACAGCAACCCCCTGTATGGATGTTCCTCCATATAATTTATGCCATCATCCATTCATGCAATCCTAAATTGACAGATCTACAAATTGTTTCCAGTTATTTGAAATTGCAAGCAAACTGTGTGAAGATCCTTACACACCCCTCTTCTTGCACTCGTCTGGCGATTTTCTTAGAATGCCTCTGGCAGACAGAGTGTAAAGAGAAATGACTGACAGTGGGAGGTGTACCGCTGCTTCTGCTTCAAGTCTAGTTGTAGATTCTTGTTTCTCTACAAACCCAGGGACACCCCAACTCAACTTCCTGAACAGTGATTCATTCTGCTGGGACCTCATCTCCCAAATGAAGCAATCCTCTCTGGTCATTGGCTTGGATAACTGGCCAGGACAGATCTTTTGCCCGTCCACTGCTGGGGAATTTCCAGATCCTGGAATTACCCCGTTTGGACATACATACCTAGTCATAGTTTGGCCACAAGGCCCCTCTGCATCTGCCCTTCTTCCCACTTGTTGGGGCCAGGCTTGCGTGCCGTGTGTTTTTCGCTTGTGGCGGAATTGAATGTCCCTTTCTGAAAGGAGGTGAAGGGAGTTGGACCCACAACTTTACAAATAGATCCCGTGGAGGTTGTGCCAAGACAGAGGTCTGGGTTCCAGAGTTCGCTAATTTTATGGTTGCTCAACAACCAGCCTAGATGCCCAGGAGATGTGGGGAAATTAGACACATCCCCTGCGCAGGAGGAGTTAGAGCAGTAGAAGGGACCAACCCATCAGCAGGTCCCCGAGAGAGCTGCAAGGGTAACCACCAGGCTGCTCTGGCTTTTGTGGGACAATGAAGGGGGGGTAGGGGCAGGGGAGAGGCCACTCCATCAGCAGAGACTTTAGACGATCTTCCTAGCAAGACCAGTAACACATTCTGCTTCTAAAGTCCACTGGTAAATCACCCAAAGCAATATTTTTGTTTAAAATTTTTCAGACTCTCTCTGGGTCTTGGGGACAACTTCTGTTATCACAGCAACAGGAGATTTTATTATTATTGTTTTAAAGATTTATTTATTTATGCATACAAGAGGTGGGTACAGGCCAGAGATGCAGGGGGTGAGGGGACTCACCAGAGACAGAGTGGGGAACAGAACAGCAGACTGACTAAAACACACTGCTGAGGGGAGCAGCCGGCACGGCAGGAGAGGTCTGCTGCGCCATGTGGGTTTCTCCCTGGCGGGGATCGAACTTATGCTGCAGAGGCTGCGGATTGCTTCATAGAGCAGTGCTTAGCCCCTTGTGCCACCAGGGAGGCCCACAGGAGATTTTATTATAGACAGATTGTGATGATGTCAGCCTTCCTCTGCATGACCCAAACTCCGGCCATCTGGAAAGGCAGGACACTTGAATGCCCTTGAACCTGGGCAAGAGGATCCGCATGCTTTAGAGAATCCAAAATCAATTATCCCAAAAATTTCCTTTACAGCAGCTGGTTTTTCTAAATAAGGACCCAGAGTCTATTCTGTTTACATCTATAAATCACTTTTAATTGAGAACAGCCCCTATTTTCAGAATGTGAATCTCAGGGGCTAAACTACTGCCCTGTGGCATGTTCTACCTTCTGGATTTGTCTGAAAGGCTCCTTGATGTGATTTTAGTTGGTCTTTGGTCTCTTGTCTTTCTCCTGTCTGGTATACCTCACCCAGTAACTCAGATGGAGTAAGCTGCCTGGAAACACCACACACACACACAAACACACACACACAACAAATACCCATGAGGCTAGAGAAGGTGAGAACTATGGAATTAGAAGCTTCACTTCGTGGGAAATTCTAGAACATTCCATCAAGTAATGGAGATATCACATTCTTTTCAAAGACATCTGGATCATTTATGAAAACTGACCATTACCTTAGCAAAAAGCAATCATTGCTTCATGTCAGAAAGTTGGATTGAATAAATCACATTTTCTCACCACCATGTAATTCAAGAAGAAATCGATAACAAAAAATAAGTAAACAAAAAAAGAAAACAACCCTCTTTAAATAACTCATAGATAAAAAAGAAACATAACAGATTTTAGAATATGCTTAGAAGTGAACTAAATAATGGAAATTTCACATATCAGAACAGAGAAAAGCTTATATGAGATAAAGAGACTGAAAAATCAATAAGCCAAACATTTAACATAAGAAGTTAGCAGAGGACAGCTGAATAAACCTAGTGAAGTCAGGGGAAGGAACCAGGAGTCAAGAGCAGAAATAAATGAAATAAAAACAACCATAAAATAGAAGTGAGTAACAAAGCCAAATTCTGGTTCTTTGAAAAGACTAATAAAACTGGCACCCCACCCCCACGCCCTGCCAGACAAATTCAGAGACAGAGGGAAGCCATAAACTGTAGTAGGAAGAGAAAGAAAACATGACTTCAGACAAAGAATAAATGAAAAATGTAAGAGGACATTACA